CTGCCTTATAAATCACGAACCTATCTCGGTTTATTATGCATTATTCATAACGGGTGTGTGACACAGAGCCCTTGTATCTTTCAAAATCTTGTTGAAAAATCGTCTCATATTTCCAAGACTTTGTAACGTAACGGGGATGGCTGTACAATACGGGAGGGTGCCCTAACTCGACGTGTACATACAAGGTGTCTCGTATGAGTAGGGATGAACCGATTCAAGTAAATACAGGTAAATAATCGATACTTTCATTTCGATACCGAGTATTTTTAGTTTCGATACTTTCTGTTGCGATGTACCTACATATACTCGGTATCGAAAAAAAGTACTCATATCGAATGGAGCGAGTAATCGATATGAAAGCTACTGTTTGTGAAAGTGGCTCTCGTTCAATTGTGTTCTTTTGTTAATAAATGTTCACTAATAAAATATATCTTTGTTAAAATCAGAGATGAACAAATTCATTATCTAGATAAAGAGTTTCGAATAATGAATAAAAGATAAAAAAAAAGTACTTCGTCATTTTTAATTTTATAACGTAGGAATTCTAATTTTTATAATAAAATAATACTTCTCCCTGAGTGAGTCAACATTTGACAAACAATTATTTAATCACATTAAATGTTTAAAGCTCAGGATGAGGATACTGCAGCTTTTCATTATGTATTATTCGAATAAATTTAACTCTGGTTAAAATGTATTATATTAATAGAAAAGAACTTTGTATTAATTTTCCTTCAATACAAGTAGGTATATGTATAGGATACTATGTAAGTAGATATCGATACTTTTCTTCGACACAAATTATGAGTAAAAGTATCGATACATTGATGGTAATGACCACTTCTTTAGTCATGACGAGTACATTCGTCATGTAAAAAAATAAAATACCTTTTACTTTAAAAATTGAAATTTTAGAATAATTGAAAAATATATTTTACATCAATTCCAGTAATTTATTACTCGGCCGGTCGTGCCGGTTAATTTGACGCACCCTTCAATTCAATTAATTTTCATATGACCAATTTTGAAGTGTCCACATTTTTTTACATTTGTCCATAAAAAGGACAAACAGGACTGTCCTCACTTTTTTCACATTTTTAAATTATGCACTGCTATTACAAAATTTCATTTCTTGAAAATAATTGCAAAATAAGTAGTTAAAAAATATTTTTTTCACTGAAGTAATTTTGCTTACGTTCCCACTATAAACATTTTTTTAACTGAAGTAATTTTGATTACGTGCCCACTATAAACATTCTAGAAGGTCACTTTGATCAGTTTATTAGTTCAACAATTATAATTTATCAAAAACAGGTTGACAGGATATTTCAAACAGCTGTAATACCAACAATTAAAAAAATTTTCAAAAATCCTTCGAGATCCGTCTAGATACCACTAAAGACTACAGCATATCGAAGTTCCAACAAAATCCGAAATTTTACCCCAAAAAGTGTCCGATTTCGCGTGCAATGACCCATAAAGGAATCAAATTGATTACGTACGCAGACACACATTTCCACAACAAAATTTCACCGTTAGAGGATTAGACGGTGCAAAAAATGTTTCTTAACAATTTTTTCCTAACTTCATTTAGAACAGAAAAATATAGCCCGACCCAATTGCCAGAATCACCCTGTATAATCAACGTCGGGAAAACAGGATCGAAGCTTCGAAAACGTTCGGACGGTTTCTCGTTTGACGATCATCGGCGTTGTTTTACATGGCAAGGGTGGGTACTGGGGGGAGGCATCCAATCGCAATCGCGAAAACGACGGGTAGCCTTAACCACTTTACGGGGTACACGTGTGTAATCCCCAGAAATAGTCGTCCCCAAGCCGACCCGATTCGCTGACCTGTCTGCTCTACCTGCCCACGTTTCAACGTTCCACTTAAAATGCCCGCTGAAAGCGTACGGCTTAATTGATTGTCCGGCGCACGGTTTCATTAACAAGCTCAAACAGGGATACACGTTCTGCTCGATCATTGCACCGTGTCGTGATACTCGGACGATATGGTTTTCCAATTGTACGAGGTCAGACCAGGTGTTAACGGTCTGAATAGGAGGTTATTCTGGCAACTTATATTGCGTATAATCGAATCAATCAAATCTTCCGAAACTTTGTGTATTCAACCCTTTGCACTCTGATGTCGCCGCTGCGGCGACAGCTGCGAAATGTAGAAGCAACTTTGTATTTTTATACATTTAAAAATGAAAATATTCTTCACTTTTCCATGGGGGCCTCTACTGTTACATTGCATGTATAATGGTGTGTTAAAATTAAATAGTCCTGGAATAGCGGTTGCTCATAGTAAAAATGACTCGGAATTGCTGATCGGTCATATTAAAAATTTCTCGGAGTGCAAGGGGTTAATAACCGAGTAAGTCCCAAACAGTGAAACAGGGAACTCGACCGGCAGACTCGCGCTCTGATTGGTCGGGGTTTTTGGTTAATATCTCCTTAACAAAGCTTCGGATAATATTTTTGCTAAGGAAAAACTTGTTGCAAATTACCTCATGAGTCTCCCATTTTCGGATCCTACAATATTTTTCCTACACCCTGTATAATTTGATGTATACAAAAACGTTTGGATCTGTGTTTTTTATGCAATAAGATGTTGCGTTTATGCAAGTTTGGGCAATTTTTTATCGAAATAAAGTAACATATTTTTGTTTTGAAATTCCACTGTATTGTTTTTACACATTGTCTATAACGTAATTTCCATTAGTCTCTATTACACTTCACCACCGTTCCATGAATTCTTTAATACCATCTTTTTTTGGTACAGTGACATCTCACCAAAGACCCACGAACTTTCCGTTCAACCTGATGTTACAGTAGGCATTCAATTCCCGCACTACCGTTATCTGCACGGAAGACACACCCCTTGCTCACACGTATTTTTCACACACGTGCGCGTACCCCACTCTGTCGCCCAGCACGCCCAGACCGGAACACATACGGTGTCGCATTTAACACGCATATCTCATCACAGAAAGCGAAATGTATGTAATACTGTTTCAATAAAATGTTGCAATGTTTCTATTGGTGCAATGAAAATTGATGGCAAATTCAGTGCTCCTTGTCTCGCGGATCACACGTAATGGGTAAAAGATGCTAACCAAGCTAGAAATTTTCTACTAAAATATGTCACGCATTATTACCTTTTTCACATAATACCTTAATACTTTATTACGCAGCTTCTTTAGAAAAATCGATTTATGTAAAAAAGAAGTATATTTATTCCATAGTATTTCAATATTAATAAAAGAACATAATTAACTTTGAGAACTCAAAAGATCTGTCACCTACGAAAAAACTGTTACCGCTAAGTAATAGCCTTCTCCATACAAAAAACTTCTGTGAGTACACTTTTCTGATATCTCTAAAAATAATGGAGATCTATATGGAACTCTATATGCAACTGCGTCGCACAACTGAACGGTCGAGTGGTGGGGAAAACGCTCGGGTAACTGGTCACCGATTCCTGCACGGTTCCTGGAAATTTAGCCCTCTAAAGCCCCGACTCGTGCGGGAATCGAATGTCTACTGTATTTTGCCGGAATATCAAAAATGTATTATGATACTAGATATCAGATTATAGAAGCTCACTACATAAAAAAGAATACACCAAAAAATGACTATGACTTAAAAAAAAATTGATTTATCATAATGCTATATACAATGTATATCTGTAACAATATATGCATAAATTCAGTAAAACATGGCTTAAATATTATTCAGACTTATAACAATAAAAATAATTCCCTCTTCTGTAACTTGTAAATCTTCCGTACGATGTTCAAAGCTTCATATGGAATAGTTTCATACATTTGTCGTCGAAATTTTCATTCTTGGGGACATACGAAACACACGATAGATGTCGGACTCCTGTGGAGGGATTGCGAAGCAGGACACATCAGTCGTGATTCACGACATATTTGTGTGTGAAGAAAATAATAGATACGTGCACTCATTCACACATTTCACCTACCACTGCCATATGCCCGCATGCTGCACAGTGTTGCCCGCTAGTGAGTTTGGCGGGCGCTGAGTTGCCCACCACTGATGTAATAGGTGACATTCGTGTAAACATCGGGAATTGCACCCGTACATCACTCAAATCCGTAACTGACGACTCCGTACTGAACAAATTTCGCGGTCTTACCGAAGGACGAAAGGGCCTGAAGTGATCCGCCACTAGCAAGCATCCGTCCCCTTTTTACCACCCGCGCACATTTGCTTGTACCAAATCTGCGTCTTTCCAACCGGAAAATAGTTGGCGCCGAATATTAACGTATCTTAACGATTTATATCTCAAAAAATTACTCCCAATTTGCTCCTTCCGAGTTTGAAATTGTTCCCACAGCACCGTTGATAGTTAATGAGATATTCGCAAAAGAAAAAGCAAATATTTGTTGTTTACAAAATAGGTAGTAAATGGCATTTTTACACAAATATTATGGCACCAAAAAATTACTCCTGATCTGTTTTATAATAATCAATAGTCAGATATCACAATACCAACTTATTAACGAGGAGCAAATGAAATATGTATTGTTGTTGCATAGAGGTAGAAATTATGATTATTATTCTTAAAAAATATTTTTTTTTAATAATTTACATACATTACCTTGTAGAAATAGCAATTGTACTCAACATATGTAGGTACTACTTGTTTATACATACTTTAGGATATGATCAAATCTGTCATTAGTATTTGGATTTCTAAAGAATATTTTTATTCTAATTATAGGTGTTATTAAAGTATCTAATTGCACCACACAATACATATAGGCAGTTCGGTTTAAAGGGTAAAATATTTTTATTTGTCACAGTATGGAACTGGACATAGAATAGCAAGTCCTTACAAATTTATAACAAAAAGTAAAAATATTCAACTTCTATTGCAAGAATAAGTTACTATATGTATAAAGTGAATGCAGTTTATTTTTATTCTTTCAACTTCTAATATAAATAAAACAAAAAATTTCACAGTAATTTATTCTTTGTAAATCGAGTATAACTTAAATTCATTAAGATTTTATTTTATATAACACTATAATATAAATTCAACTAGTTTATTAGTGTATTATGTGGTGTTCTGTAACAGCATCATTTTTGCTAATAAAACTTGCTAAGAACTCTTCTTTGCTTCATCTTTGGAAACCTTGCTACAGTCTCTGGATGTTTTTGGCCTTATCATTGAATTCAAATCTTGTTGACAATTAGATAATCCCATACCTAAGCCAATACCTCCTCCAGCTATGATGGGCCATTTTCTTCCTAAAAAAGTGCTGAATTTTATTAAAATTCTATGACATTTTGCATGCTATGATATCAACAATGGCAATACTGATAGTAGCTTAATTGAAATGGCTAATATTGAAGAACATATACGTATTTGTAATTCATAACCTATCAAATACATTTAATGTTGCAGTTTTACAAAATAAAATAGTATGTAGTATGTATGTTTAAGATAACTGTATTATCTTAACCTTCAAAATCATATTATGATATTGACATCCAGATACATAAATTGAAGATGTCATTACATAAAACACAAAATTTTCTTTTACTTAGAAAAGAAGTGGAAAAATGTTTAATTAATTAAATATTAAAGTAATAATGTCCTTACGTCTATAGAAAAACAGGCAGAATACACCACCAAGGAAAGCTCCTCCTCCTATGAAAATATCACACTATTAGAAACAAGAACAAAAATTAATATTACCTTTATGCTTAATAAGAACTACAAATACAAAAAAATATTTACCAAGTTTAAAAAGTGTATCTGTGAGACATCGATCCCATATTCGTCCAATTTCGTCTTCAGTCCAAGTGGTACCGGCCATTTTTCTGTATTAAAGTGGAGTGGATCTGTAATATTAGTTGTTATGTCATACGTGAGTTTCTGATCATCTCGTCGAAGGCCATCGAACGATTGATTATTCGTAAAAGCAATATTTAAACAATTTATTATTTCATCGGTTAATATTTTTTAATAGTTATGTATATGTTTAATGTAAATGTATAGCAACGAAAGATCAATGCAATTATTTCCCATTTCGATCAAGTCAGTCTATAGACTTATATGCAATAGGATGTGTTACATATTGGGACATGATAAAGGAAAGAAGGTTTCTAATTTAATCTCATGCATAAACGTTATTTATCTAGAATTTAGCAAATGGAACAATTGATTCACCCCTGTACGTTCGTTAATTTCATTAGAATCCGCTCGCTTTAATTTTACAGGTTTCGTAGTCGCGCCACGAGTAGGTAAAATTTAAACGTGAAATCACTATTTCGCTAGTGAGTTGTTACATAAAAGCTATTACATAAAATCACTACCAGAGGGCCATGAAACCTAGCTGCTTTGCGCAAGTTACATATTTATTGTCATTCATTTCTTTGAATTTCTCCCTTGAAATCTTTTTATATACACAATGAAACATGAATGACATTGAAATCATTCGTTAAATTCAAATCTTGAAAATATATACAGTTAATTAAACTATGTAACAATTTTCTAACTCCTCGGAGCACTTTACCAAAAATTTCATAAATGAAACATGTACCTATAAAGTTTCATATCGTTTTTATCTTTCGTAAACACCTCGTCAAGATCCATAATTTAATCTCATTTATAAAAGTATATTTTAATCATTGAATCTTTTGTTGTAAGAAAAATAAAATCTTCATATTTAAAAACTGATGATTTCAACTTGTAACTCAAGTTATACTTCTGATCAGAAGAATGGATGTCAGACCCATAAAATGTTTCATCGCCATATCACACTTGATGTTTAGTCCAGTTTAGTCCACTGACGGCCTGTAAATTTAACAGTTCAAATCACATTAAGTTCTTATTATATTGTACGCAGTAAAACATTTTTACAAATAAATTGAGAAATGTGTTAAAAGAAATTGTATCTATTTTAGCGCCCTCTTGTAATCGATCCTACCCTTCTACTAGTAGAGCATTCTAGGATTTAACGTGCACTGTATATATTCGATTTGACAACATGGTCATGCAGAAACATCACTATAAAACTGCAATGACAGAGTTTCCAGCGTAAAAATAAGCCAAAATTTGTGCTGAACATGTTTGCTAAACACTGTAAAGAGAAAACAGGATAGTTTTAGTCAATGTTGACTTCATGTTAAAGTGTATAATTCGATAAATACGCACGCACGTTAAAACTGCGTCACAAATAATGTTATCGATTAATTTTTTACGAACCTCGGAGTCAGTAGGCAAACGATCGTGTAACATTAACAGAAGAGTGGTTAATATAGAATTATTAATGAGGTTCTCATTTTTTATCGTGATTTTTATTGTAACAACTAATTTACTGTCGTCGGCTAGTGGGATCGAGTCATTGGGAAACCCGTATAAAATTTTAGGTGTCCACAAACGTGCAACCTTACAAGAAATTCGAAAAGCGTATAAAAATCTTGTCAAAGAATGGTAAGTGTTAACATTAATGTGACAATTATTATTTATCTTATCGTATGAAAACAAAAAATTCTGATCTTAATTTCATATGTCATGTATGCAATTTGCATACAGTAAAATACTGGTTAGTGAAAAATCATGTACTTTATATTTAGTACTGTACTTTTCAAGGACCTTAAAGAATCTATTTAGTATTTTTAAACTGCATTACTTGTTTAGGCATCCTGATAAAACTGATCATCCTGGTGCAGAAAATAAATTTGTAGAAATTACAAAAGCCTACGAGGTAAAATTAATATACCATTAACAAATATATATTATGTGTGAAGACCACAAGGGAAAAGCATAACGTTACATTTTTTGTTTTTTATAAGAGGATAATTTTACAATTCAATATATTTTCAACCAATTCTATATTGCCAAACCTGTGTTTTTATTTGGTTTTGAGATTAATTCTCATTCTCTTGAACGTTTAAAAAATAATGATTTTGCCCTTGGTTTTTTTTTTTACAAAACTTTAGGACTTTATCAGCAGTTTTCTCCTGTTAATAATTATTTTTTCAAATAATCACTTAGGTTACACTTAAATTGTCATTTAACGTATTAAATTGAGTTTTTCACAAACTTATCAAATTATATTTTCATTTCACTTGAACTTGTTACGTTATTTCCCTATACGCTTACTTTTAAAAAGCTTATATCTTTGGATGTGACAGGTTGTTTTCCTTTTCAACTGTATCATTAAAGTATTCCCTTTTAGGTACCAGATGAAATAAAATTCATAAAATCAACAAAAATGGACTTACGTTGTTCCCCTGTGATCTCCATATAATTTGAAGAATGAGGTTTTACATCAAATGTTTGGTTTTGTAGATCTTAACTGATCCAGAAAGAAGAAAGAAATTTGATAATCATGGCATTACAGAAGAAAGTATTCCCAGGCAAAGAAGGGACTATAGTCAATTTAATGTCCTTGATCCTTTGGAGGAGCTGTTTGGTGGGAATTTCAAGTTCCATTACCAAACTAGAGATATTTCACTCTTTTATAAGATGAGCATCACATATCGGTTTGTGCTTTCATTTATAAGACACACTTAACATAAATTGAATATGTTTGCATAAGCTACAATAACTGGGCATCTCATGCATTAATATATTTATTACAGATCATTTGAAAATGTAATAGTACCAAAAACATTTCGTACACCTTATATAATATTATTTTATTCGGATTGGTGTTTTGCGTGTTTGCAAGTAGAACCAACATGGCGTCGCTTGGTTGATGAGTTAGAGCCATTGGGTCTTGGTTTAGCAACTGCACATGCTGAGAAAGAATCTGCTTTGGCAAGAAGATTGGGTATACATTCGCTGCCATGCCTGGTTGTTACAATAGATGGTCGCACTAGTGTGTACAAAGAATCTCTTTTCAGCGTGCAAAAGATTGTTGGTGTGTTCTTGTAAAATTAATTGTGTACTGTGTTCGACATAGCATCCTATATGTACAATCTTTAATGGCCTTTCTTTTTCAGATTTCTTACGAAGCAAATTTCCATATAAATTAATACCTAACATAAATGAAAACAATGTAGACAATTTCCTCTCAGGATGGATAGATAATCGAATTCGTGCTTTAATATTCGATAGGAAAGAATCGATACGATTACGATATCTATTTATTGCATTTTACTACAGAGATCGCGTCGCATTTGGTTTTGTTCAGGTAGAGATTTAACAGTAGACTTACTTGAATAACAGTATCCGAATCCTTTAATAATTTAGGCTTTAATTCTTATAGACTGGTAATCCAGACACAGAACATATTATAACAAAGCACAAGATTTCTGCAGACTTAGACACTTTGTTATTATTTAATGAAAATTCTGAAAAACCTATGGCATCTGTTAGTATGAAAGATATATCCAGCGATACGATGCACAACGTTATATCAAATAACAAATTCCTCGCTTTACCAAGACTTTCAAATCAAGCAATGCTGGACTCTGTGTGTCCACCTGAATGGCTAAGACCACAAAAACGATTGTGTGCAGTTCTGATATCACAACAAAATAATCCCCTCCATGATTTGGCAAGGCATAAATTTAGACAGGCAGCCTTAGAGTCATCTTATAGGTAATATTATCTTAGGGCTATAGTCGGACTTTTTCAGTAACTTTCAATGATTAATATTCACCATAATGAAATTTATAGCACTGAACGTGTTAGGTATACGTATGTATTCAAAGATACACAGCCAGAATTTGTATCAGCATTGTCGACAGGAGAAGGTAGTCCCTTAGAACCTCTGTTACATATTGTCATTATTTGGAGAAGGGATGCAAATCATTTGAAGTATGAATGGTTACCCACTGGTTGGATTGAGGCCGCTCAAGATGAGAATCAATGGAATGAGACACGTCGACATTTGGAACAAACTATACAGAGATTACTGAGAGCATCTGAAGCTTTGCCATATGCCGCAGTTGTAGGAGAATTAGCAGATGAACATGCACAGGTATGTATTTAAATCCTTTTGAAAGAAAAAATTATATGGATGGAACATGGAGAATGAATGCAGGGTCATTATGATCTACAGGAAGAATTTCATTATACATAGATCTACAAATAAAATTATGTATAAAATATTATTTATAAATTCAAAAGATAATAAAAACAATGAAAATGTCGACATAGTAAGATAACAAAATAAACATAATAATATTTCAACATTATCATCCGACTTTTTTGAGGGCGATCGCTACTTATGTTCAATTGACATTGCATTCATCGGGCGAGTGTTAAAGAATAAAATGGGTTTAATGTAACATCTGTTCTAATTTTGTTGCTTTTACAGGGTACTGTAGACAAACTCATTGGCAAGGCATTGCTAGCTGTAGATTATATATCGGATAGTCTTACTAAAGAGCAAATTTTGCCTTTAGTATCAGTAATTGCTACTTTAATGTTAATCGGTGCTGCAGGATATGGAATGTCGTATCTAGTGTAAGTAATTTGAAATGAAAATGAAAGTTGGAGTATGAAACGAAATTCCTAACCCATTCGTTCTTACGAGTGGATATTCTTCGTCCAATGGTAATATCGACTTTGCATTTATGGACATAGATTTTTAACACTGTGTTACGTCTTCTGCATTATGTATAACAATAAATATCTATAAATATAACGTATATATATGTAAGAACTTAAAGTTTCGATAGATGTGCAAAGCACAACATTCTGATTATTGTAGTTCTTAATTTCATTATGATATTTCAAAGGGTTTTTCCAGGGTTTTAATTGTTTATCCGAATCGTTATAACAGCAGAGTTTAACTCCTGTGTGAAATAACTTTCTAGCAATATTAACCATTGAAATTATCTTCCATTATAGGAAATTAGAAGAAGCGAATGTTCAAGCTGAACGTGCTCAATGTAAAGATACCAGTAAATCAACACCATCACAACCGCAATTACGATTACATGAACTACGTGCAGAAAAATATAATGGTTTAGTTCGACTATTGAAACCAGGCTGTAGAACCATTATATTATTAGTTGATGCTCAAAGTAGACTAAAATTATTACCAGCTTTTCATAAAGCTGTGTGGCCTTATAGGTGAGTTGTAGCAATATATTCTTTTTTCAATTGAAATATAATAATTAGGTGTTAACATGTTGTTGAAAAATCTAACATTTCTTGTATACTGACCTAATTTGTGATTTTTGTCATAGGAAAAATAAGACCCTTATGTTTGGGCATATGTCTCTTGAAAGGGGACTAGATTGGTATAAGAAACTATTATCTCTCACTTTGCCAGAACAAAAAGAGTTAAATATAAATGCCAAAAATTGTGTTGGCACTGTTCTATCTTTAAATGGGCATCGTAAATATTTTTGTATGTATCATGCCAAGCATCCAGAATGTAGTAAAGGCAAAGGTTCTAAGGTATAAACTAAAAGTACTTATTTAAACGTTTCTCTCTTATGCATGAAAATCAGAAATTTTATCGTTGGTTGTGTTTGTAGCGAATGGAACGAATGACAAAACAATTAACTCGAAGAGCTGATGACGCGGAAGCCGGTGCATTTATCGGTTTTGACAGTTCTAACGAATCTGATCTTTCTGAAGACGAGGTACTAAGTGAATAGAATTCTTCAATGATATCGTTGTCAAAATAAAATTCAAATAATACAATCAGATTATTTCCTTTACAGAGTGGAAACAATATTTTGTATCAAGATAATCTTTTGGACGGTCTACCTATGTGGCTAGACAGATTATTTGAAGGTTTAACACATCGTTATTATGTAAACTATTGGCCCGAGTTCACTGCCAAGTAATTGAACCCTAATATACATTCTGGTAATGTGTATACTTTTTGCAATAGCAAAAGGGATCCAACTAGTCAACATACGTCATTTGGAAATCCTATAATCGAAAAGATACATCTTTACTTTTCTTTAAAGTTAAAACATCTTCATTGTATATGAAGCATTATTTCTGACGTTACTCACAATTTTCCGTATAGATAGATTTTAGGTACTCTATTTACTCGAATTGGGAAATTTTCGTACAGTATCATCATAGTCGATAAAATTATTGTAGATTTAAACATTTGCATTATTTTGATCGATTTTCACGAGTAATGATAATCACTGAAATTTGTAATATTACCTTAAATAATTCTAGTCGATGCCATTAAAGACATAACAGTATTTATATTACATGTTTAAATATTAGGCACTGTATATTTATATATTTGTAATATGTCAATAATTTCCATTCATTTCGATTTCTTTTGATATTAATCTGTGGTATTTGTTCTATAGCATTGTATTGCAGCCACCTTTACTTTCCACATTACATACAAAGTTTGATAAAAAATGTTCTTGGACATACGAATATTTTTATCTACATTCTATTTACTTTGGAACGTTTGAAAACCTTCAAAATTAATCCGTATTGTCTGTTACGTATTAACACCATCATATTGGGTCGAACGGAAAGTTCGTGCATTTTTATTCTAAATAAATTCTACTGTATTGTTTTTACAAAAAGTGATTTATTTAATCAATGACGTAATTTGCATTAGTTTCTATTAATCTTTCTCACCGGTCCACGAATTTTTTAATACCATCTTCGTAAAATTCTTGTGGTACACACATCTGACAAGAGACATTTTTTCATTAATTTATATTATATTTTTATGTTTAGAGATGTAATAGTATTGTCATTTAAATATTCAGTACATTCATTTTAATTATAAATTCCGCATGTAATACGGCGATATGAAAAAATATAGCATAGTCCAAGTATTTTATTATCAAACTTAATGTATGTTACGTTAATATTTAAGAATGTATTTTTATCTCTTCTGTTAACATATATTTATATTATCATACACATTTTTTGAATCTTGTATTTTTATTTATCGTAGAAATTGGCAACAAACATATTTGTACATCTATTGATTCGTTCTAAGCGAACATTCATAATTATAATAATAACAGTAACAATAATAATAATAATAATAATAATATGTGCTTTATACAACTCATATGCAGATTAAAAATAATAAATACTTTATAGTTGATCGAAAGAGAATGGTTAATATTCTCATAGAACAATACTTTGATATTAAATAAATACAAAATCTAGTCCCTTTTTCAACTATGCTTAAGTAATGTACATCTTAAATTATATTTTGAATAATTATGGATATCACAGCGCTATCCATTTGAATAAGTCATCACATAAATAATGTCACTTTCATACTTCGGTTAACAGAAATAGACTGTATAGTATTTGTTAATCATCGATATATACCTATTTATATTTGAATAGAAATTATATATACAATAAATCATATTTAAATGTAAATTAAACTATAAATGGGTAATATATCGGTGGTGTATTTTACTTTTCAGGCAATCTTTTATTTATTGTTTGTTTAGAGGTTGTTATTGTTTACCAAGTTTAAAGAATTTATAGTGATACAGAATATAATCTAGAAGAATTATATAGAATACTCTTTAACCTCTTTAAAGAATATAATTAAATAATGTTATATCACTGAATACAGAGTTAGCGGTACATTTCCAATTTCTTATATAAATGACAACGCACATGTGATACATTACGAAATGTCTTATTAAGAAAATTAAACATATATATCTATACATATAATGCGTGTATTTAATCATGGAAATGACTTGACTTATGTGATGACTGAAAATAAATTTATGTTCGGTATATGTATACTTCAATCATGTTTTACAAAATTATCTTTTGAATATTTAATTACATGGAAAAGAGTGATGTATAATGAATTGTTTACATTGTGTATACATTCTATGAAAATATTTAAAATATGATGAAATAAAGATCTGTGAACAAATTTGTATTATTGTTTGATTGTACAAAATGCCAAGAAATCATGACTAAAAAGATGTATACAAAATACTCATGGATAAAGTTTACTGTAGTTGCTGTTTTATTCCTGTTAGTTCCGGAAATACCTCGTACATCACAACTTCAAACATATCCTGTAACAAAGAATTAAATATCCAGCAGACAAATAAGTGCGAAAGCCTATAAGAAACTCGAAATAATCACTTACATAAAATAACTGTTTGTTTAAATTCATGTTTTGCAAGGAATCAAAAATTTTAATTGCACCACGTTGAGCACTTTGCGCTCCAACTAAATTGGTTAAAACTTCAGGTACATTATTTAGGAATTGTCTTCGTGCTTCGCCGCGTGTCTTTAATTTCTCTTCATCTGTACGCAGAACCGTTCCAGAAACTAAATGGCCATTCGGCCACCAAGATTTCGTAAATAATTGTATGTAATAGTGAAGCATTGGTTCCGAGAATACCCACGAAATGGTATCCCTGATTTGCCTAAAAATTATATACATTCTGGACTCCTGTCTATCACACAAATTCTATATAGTATATTAAATCGGTGCATATGGAATAACGGTTTTTTTCCGGCACTTGATATTGTTATTAACTTTAAACGAAATTTGTTAATTATTGTAAGATTTTCTGCATCCTCAAGCAATACTCGAAAAAATAAAATTTTAGTGAAATTTCATGTCAATCCATCAACTGGTTTAATTTATTTTATGCAGTCTTCAAATACTTTTATTGTCGAAACAAATAGTGCCCCTTAGAAAGCACAGTATATTGTCGGCTCTAATTTAATACGCGAATAATGACGATTATTAATCACTTCTATTCAGAAAAGTGCAACCAAATATACCAATCAATAACATAAAAATTTCATAAGCACCGACCTAATATAACCTAGGAGATTATTAATTATACCTATTAATGGTGCGACCATAAGTAATTTGAACAAAAGTAATTAATGAACGTCTCAGCCATCGAAACACCCCTCGTAAGTCAAAAATTTCACCCAACAGGGTATACAGAGGTTCTGCGATCGCATCTTTATTGGAGCTGAAGCATCCATCTGTTATTGAACGGGTACTATCTGTGTCGTCTAATAGGAGAGAATAATCTTCTTCATCATCCTTGTCACGAAGTTCACTACTGTTACTAGATCTAAAATAAATTATTCAAATTAATATCCAATAAATATCTTGTTTTCTTTCTTAGATAAAATGCTCCCATACGTTTTGAACAATGTTGATAAAGAGAACCGAGATTTCTTTGGAGATGGAGGTGCGTATTTCAAGTGTTCTGAGCTTGGACTAAGAAACGTGTACAAAGCTTCGCTTTGATTAAGTTTTTCGTCTTCTAAAACAAACTGAACATATCGAACGTATTAGTTGAAAGATTAAAATGACAACACCATGTTCAGCAGTGATAATAGTTAGGAAATTTACATTTAAATATTTTTGAATTTGAATTTTAGCTTTGTCCAAAGTATTTCTGTCAGACTTCCCAAAGAACTTCAACGGTTGCGACGGTAAATCTAAATTTTTTACGTTAGAACAAAGTTGACGAAGTTTTCTGTGTAAATCTTGGAAATCCTGTAATTTTCTCAGTACCACCCAACCACTGCATATGCTGTCGTTGTTACCTTCATCTTCTGCCATATGAACAACCAAAACAAATTGTGGAGATTCTCCATTATCTGGTATCTATTTAAAAATTATTTCTTGAATTAATATAACTAAGTTTATATGTATTAGTTTTCTCGACGAATAATTTGAAGTATACTTACTTCTGCTGTCTGTACTTCTGCTCTCCAATGACCTAAATGTTCCGCCCACATTTCTGTGTGAGTTAAATGCGCTTCTAGTTGCCGTTTCTCACTTTGCAACCATTCAACTTCTTTAGCCAAGAAATTCAAAACTTTGCTCTCTGGTTTTAACGAAGATTTTAGCGCCTGCAAAGCTTGCATTTTGTTGTTTAATTTTTCTTGCAACTGATCCAATTTACTACGAGCATAGCACGAATGTTCTCCGACAAGTAAAGATACATTTTCCGATAACGTTCCATTTGTTATTCGGCGATCTTCAACTAAATCTAAACATGGAATGTGTACATGAATATACATATATACCTAATAACACTATCATCTTACGACAAGAAGAAAATTTCATACAAACCATCTGCTCTTTCATTAAGTAGTGCTTGTTGCATATTTTTGTATTGTTTGCTGACCACAAAGGATGAATAATATTTTTCTTCTAAAGTTTTAACGACGCTGTCTTGAACTTCATAAAATACATTAGGCCCAATATCACCTAACAAAAAACTCTCCATCTTTTTCCGAATGGCCCTATCAACCTTTATTTCAGCAGTTGGAGAGGTAATGTAGGTATAAAAAATTTCAGCACCCAATTGATGCCAACTGGACTTATCAGCGTTCCGCAACTCTTGTACAGCTGCCCAATACCTAATCAAATCCTGACTAGCAACTTCTTCAAGAAACTGTGAAAGATATCTTCGACCTATCACGTTATCCAGGATATACTGCAACGGTAATACTCTCTCCCCTGTGATTTCTGCTGAATCAGGAATGTCATTGGCCTACAAAACATTGTTGTCAAATATAATCGTTATTAACAAGTAACAAAATAAAATATTTTCGCAACCTGAACAGGATATCCATTCCATCCTAATGATTGCATGTGACATTCACATGTATTTTTAGCATATGTCAGTTGGCTGATATACCTCTTTAGTTTTCTAGCTTGAATACCATCAGATTTTCCAAATGCATTATTGTCTGGATCTAAACCTTGCGCTCTTTTCACATTTTGTATTGTCGTCGCTTGCATAATCTCCGTAACAATATTGTATCTGATATGCTTTAGAACTTCTAAGTCTTTAGAACTTTTAATCATACGTATAAAGTCCTCAAATGACTCAGCGTACTCATATGTTTTCCTATGCATTGCTTCGGTGAGTTGTTGTTGATCGATGTAAGATAGGATTTTTTGGTTGATATAGTCTGGATCAGTTATTAAATCTATTGCTGGTTTTAATACTGTAAATATATAACGAACGAAATACATAATTGGCGCACAACCCTATGAATAAGTTCTATAGACTTACTTTTACATGCAAGAATTTCTCTCAGTAAATATTTCATTGGTGCAAGAGAATAACAACGTGGCAACAAAAATAAAATATACAATTCACTGACTCTTCTCAAGTAGTCTAATTCAGATGTAGGTGACATTAAATGTGCTGATAAAATAAATACTGGATCTTCGCCTTCTGACCTATTCATAAATTAAGAAAACATGTTATTTTTGGAAACTGTCAATGTACAATAATTGAAAAGGTAGTACTGAACTTACGAAGCAGCTTGAGCAATCCTAATCTTTTCAAAATGAAAAGTAATTTTGTTTACTATATTACAAACAACTAGTTTTGTGTGATCCACTTTGGATAAACGATCATGGACGCTCTGGATAGCTCCCCATACATCTTGTTTCATAGTTTCCACTATTTGCTCAGAATTAAAAGCCAATTCACTGAGCCAAAGACCAACAAAATCTTGGAAGATCAAATCCAACAGATTTTGCAAAGCTCCATCCACCATACGAGTAAAAACCAATGGATACCTTGCATGTTTTTTGGGATTTAAAGGTTTAACTGCATATCCTTTCTGAAATAATCATAGAATAGTTCACTTCTATATAATTACTAAGTTACTTCAGCCTTCATTTACGTTTATTAGCCTATTACAAAACACTGTCTACACCTGACAAGGATTATATTAACATTGGAAATAAGGTGCATTGCAAAACAGCTTGTTTATTATAATCAGCTAACCCAGATCTAAATGAGCTATTCTGGAATAAGTAAAGTTAGCATACTAAAATACATTTGTATCTGCAAATGCATAGGAGAGAGTTTTTAAAATACGGAAACATTGCAATTTATATAAAATTGCTTCTTAAATTACTTATTTCCTGTGTGAAAGTTAACTTTTGCTTTAGATATTTCTTTATACATTGAGTAATTTACAAATAATTTCACACTGTCAAGTTAAATGAAACACTCTATATAAAAAATTAATATAGAGGAGTATGATATCACATTTATTACTCATGTTTTTCTATGATACCTGGTATCTTATCTATACATAGCAATAAAAAGTCTGTGCAATAAATGAGTTTTGATGCCATACACGTAATAAATCTAAATTTATCTTTTTAAAAGATAATCTGAAACTATTATATACATTGCCTGGCACAACAAATGCAATACCCTGTTTTGTGTAAAATGGTTGTATAATATATTCATTAAATATTAATTCTCTCTTTCAATCTTTACCGAACATAATAAATCATATTACTTTAAGATATCATATGTCACACATACTTTGTTTTTACAGATTTCTTTTCTTTTCGATTGATGTTGAATAATCCTCAGTTTTATAGCTATTTATACAATCTGTATATGAAAAATTCATGTGCACTAGATAAATTAGATTAAACAGATGTTACATAGTTTAACAGATTTGAATCTAACAACAAAGAATGTAATTTTCAAGAAGTATGATGTGCAATGTTTTGCAATAATAACTTTTTAAGGAAGCAACTATGGATGTTTTCTGAAATTTATTTTTCTAGAATTGTATTCTTTATCAGATCCAAAACTAGTGTTCTTATTCTAAGGAACACCCTGTATGTCAATGTAACAGAACTTCGTTTTTAATTAAAAGTAATTTCACAGTCCTACTTATTCAAAGATACTAAGGTGGACAATGAAAATATATACTTGCGAAAACGTACCATTAACAAATTATGGAAAGCATCGATTTCAGCAACTGTCTTCAACGTGCCCGAGCCAGTTTGATGTTTCGGAGAGAGAGCGATGTATATGAACATAACAATTAAGCATCCCAGGAAGAAACATGATATGGTTAACACTCCAAATATGTAGCACCATAATAAATTATTCCAATAGAAGAAAGCGGTAACGATTGGAATACACAGAATACCGGCTGATACCATTGTTCCTTCCTATTCTAATCACATGACAAGAAATATTACATTTTCAATCCTTTATTTACAAAATTGTTTCGACTCGGTATTAAGAGTCAGCAAATGACATTAACACCAACATAGTCGATCACGAACTGAAGTTTAATAGATCGCACGCAAGATGGCATCATCTCTGCCCTGAATTGAACACCCGCCTAAATTTGATTTTCAAATGCTAGTTTTGTTTCGTTACAGACTAAATTGCTCAGTTATTCTCGCAAATTAAGTAGCTTTATATTACTATGAACTGTACAGGGTATCCAATAATTCGTGGTACAGCTGTATAAAAGGTGTTTGTATGTGCAAACACAAATGTAAAATGAGTACCATTAATTTTGTACCACTTAGTTTGACTGTTTGTCCACCACTGATTACGTATAATATAATTAAATCTTAACAATACGGTGATATTATTAATAGTTCGTCATAATTTGATATAAATTGAAAATTAGGATATAGAAATTCATGAATTTTCAAGTACGATTTCCTCATAAACAAAGCTCCAAGTGAAAAAATTTGATTTCGCATTTTTGATCTGTTTTTCCACATAAAATCACTTCCTCTGTGTTTGTTCCACTCATTGCCGGACATCCTGCATAAACGAATGAGTGATATGCAATAAAATTAAAACATCGTCGAAATTTAATGGTGTTACTTCTTTATTTTCAATCTAATGAAATCCTTAAGAAGAAAACTAACTCCTTGTTTAACCTAACCAGGCGACTTGTCAATAACGAACATCTACAAACTACAATTACAGATGAATGACAAAATGATCTAAAGTGACTTATTGCGCAATGAACATAAGGACGATGTATCATAAGTTACCACAGATATTATGATATTCGACCATTTTTAGGTAATTTACTGAAAGAAAAAAACAAACACTATCAGAAGGTGCAGTAGAATGCAAATAATGAGGTAATTCATCTTCCTTTATTAACAAGGTAAAGAAGTATACCTACACAGAATTACAAAAATGAATTTCTTTCTTTTCATTTTCTGATAACTTAGAGTATTGAAAATGTGCTCCTAAAGTATTTTGTGCAAATTCGTGTAATAATAAAGCAGTTTAGTGCGCTTTACTGCTCCGAACACATTGCTCCTATTCTTTGTACAAATCAAACAATTTTGAGAAGTAAAAATAATATTTGCTATATTTAAAAGTCATTTCTCGTCTTCATTCGGTCGCTTCAAACGTTTCAAATGATTACCTATAATTTGCTGCCCGCGGTTGTTAGTATGCTGTATGAGTAATCGCTCTATTTAACACGTAAGTATGCTCATGTTACGACAATTAAAATCTAACGTAAATTTTGGTTACGTAAAATGTGGGTACGAACAAATTCTATCGATGTAAGAAACCGAGTCAAATAATTTTAATGCATACCTCTGTGGAGATCAATACAAGAGAATCTGTATTGTCGAATGACACACTATATTCCCTGCAGTTGTCGTTTGACTACTGCATGACGATAGGTAAAATGGAACAATGCAATGTAACAAGGATAGGTAGTGATCCTGAAAATACATAAAAAATGATATCAAATAAAAAGAACTGATAAACATAACTATCTCTTCCACGTCGACCATGGGTCACTCGTGTCTTGTCTCATGTTTTCATTTAATTTACACAGGCTGATTCCGAACGAAAATTTCTTCAGAAGTTCCAAATAAAATGAAAACCTCGTTGAATTTAATTAACACTAGAACTACCAGCATTGAATGTATACTAAATTAAATTGTATAATACAATAATATACAGAATATATAAGATAATTTAGCATAATATACTATAAAATAAAATCTGTAGTAAATTAAAAGTCAATATAAATTCTGTCAAAAGCACCATTATAATTTCAGTAATGAATGGTAAAATAGTACATCTGTAATCCGTAATTTTTATGGGTTTCGTAGTTCTAGTGTTAAATATTCTGCAACACTTCGATTTTATACATTTTTTTAGAGTAACTTACCAAAACGGGTGTTTCTTCGTGCAAGAATTTCATTTCATCGAAAATAGATCAAGGACTTCCAAAGTTACACGTATTCTTATATTTTAACGAATGTTTTATTTAACGATTGTATATAAATATCTCTTACAAATGTTTGGTTCTCATTTTCCTTTGGCCGAAAATTCCTTATTTTCAGTTTCCTCCGTAGATCGACTCATCCGAAAATAAAACATATTTTTCTTAAACTGTAATCCTTAAATCATAAGAAATCATAAATAAATGTTGTCCACCGGCTTTCGTTCAAGTCTAGTAAACTTGTACATAAAAGACTGTATTTTTCGTATCTCATGGACTGAGATCTCATGACTACTGTAACTTCCAAAAATATAGAAACCTGAAGAATATATAAAAAAAAAACAAAAATTAAAGTACTGCGGATAGTTTTGCTCCAATCGATGGAAATCATTTTTGGCATGACTTTTCATTGAATTTCCAAGGAAAAACAATGTTATTGCAAAGAAGAAATTCGTTGACGATTCCGATAGATCCACGAATGTGAATGACAGAGAGTGGGGTGGGAGAAGTTCGCTTCACGATCGCGGAGCAACAATTCATCTGTTCCTTTCCCACTTGCGATGTACGCGTTAAAGGTCGGGGAACACCGAACAAATGGAGAACATACATCATAAAGCACCTTATCATTCATTCTCAAGCGGCTACAAAAAACACCCCACGTCTTTATTTTCAACGATACGTGTCGTGCACGATGTGGTGGTTGCACAGTCTCGTTGTTTTACTATTGTTTGTTTCTCATAGTCTGTTGTTCGTCGTCGCGTTTCGTAAAGTACAGAATAGCAATCCAGATGTATCACTTACGACCGTGAGTCTTTGATTCTTTTACCAAATGAAATTTCCATTGATTATTTAACGCGTCTGTTCGTTACGTGATTTTTTTCCTTTTATTTCAATATAGCCCGAGCTGTTGCGAAAGTACGGCTACCCGGTGGAGGCTCATAAGGTGCAGACGGAGGACGGTTACATTTTAGAAATCCATCGAATACCGTACGGACGAACGAACAAGACAAGTTCGGAGAGGCCACCGGTTTTGGTGCAACACGGCTTGATCGGAAGTTCCGCGGATTGGATCCTCAGGGGACCGGCAAATTCGTTGGGTAATCGAATTATATACACACAGCGAAGTTAACGTATTAACGAACGCTAATCTGGTGTCTTTCACTTTTTCCTTTTAACGTATTCAACGCCGCGTGAAACCGTGCCGACACGGCGCGAACGGAAAGTCCTGTGTCGAGTCAATGAGGATCGTCATGTAATACGAATTCCAATATATTACATGAAATGATACAATCGCCGTGAACGGAAAGTCAGCCGAAATAGTGGTGAACGTGTTAAATTACAATATATATTTTCAGCTTAAGTTAATAATTCCTAACAATTACCAAATTTTAGTATTACTTTTTACTTATATTTGCAACGAAGAAGTTTCTTGAAATTATTGCTCATCAAAAGTTTATGAAAATTTATTTGACATCTGACAACATTTTTGGTTTGTTTTTTTTATTTATTCTTTACAGTTGTATTTCAAATTGCAATACTATAGTTTGTGATATTTAATTATAAAAGTCTAAAGAACAACCTTTTGAAGAGTTAATTTACACTTTAAAAATATATTGATACCTTTGGTAGAAATTATTGTGGGTACATATTGTGAAACTATGATATTCTTATACGTTGCTGATGGGACAATTTCCGAGCTCACGATGGATAATAGATTTCTTGCGATCAGTTTCAAACACGGGATCGTACTTATTCAATAGCGACTCCGAACTTTTTACTAAAGAGTAAACGCAGTACTTTTGTAAGGGCATTTCCATGAAAATATAAGTGTATTCGATAATTAGATTACGGTTATTGATAAAATTATGTAGGTTTATGAAATTAATTTGAAGACAGAAGAAAAGTTTTATTAATAATAACTAAACCTTGTTAAAAACACTAAGCTTCTCATTTTAATGTATTTTACTAAAAAATTAACAAATTTCAGCCGTTTGTATAGATATCGATGATGAGCTAACTACTTTCTACGTATAGCTTTACCTGAATCTCTGTTACATCTCAGATTTGCTTTTTAAAATAGTCTTAAAATAAATTTTTCTTCCACCAATCAAATTTTTTTTTTCATACATCTGAATAAACGATTTGGGTAATATTTCGCAGAGTCTGTTAACTTTGTTTCTATCATACCTATTCTCAGTTCTGTTCGAAGAAATTTTCTACGAATCTTTCGTTCGTGTACATCAATCGTTCACTTTGTGATTTGAGGTCGGAACGAGGTCAAGGAGACGTGAAAGTAATCACAAAATTTCGAATAATTTTGGTAAAAGTTTGTCGTTCAGTCGACTTGACGACTTGAAGCCTGACAGTCTGTACATTTTTTATTAGGTTTCCCCGTGAATTCGTGTCGATTTCTGTACCCAACACCTACGCTACCTCTGAAAAATGTCCAGACAGTTGTTTATTTGTGATAAAGTAGAATTTAACGCTAGAATTACCGACAGCTGACATATATCTAGTTCCATCGAATCCACGAACATGACAACCATTTGAAAATACTCTAATTTTAAAATTACCTAATTTCTTCATTTGCATATTACAATGAAAGTTGTAAAAGATCTGAAAAAAATGCAGTTTTGTAACATTTTAATCATCGTTATAAGAAGGTACTAACCAGTCATTTTGACTGCTTCGGTGTCAATTGACGGATGAAATGTACAAAAATGATTTTATAGTTCGTCATTGTTATAGCTATGTGTAAAATAAGATTTGTAATAATCTACAATAATGGAATTCTAGGAAGTGAGTGTCGAGCTTATTGCAATTGCTTTGCAATTAATTTTTATAAATTAATTTCGAAGGTATAGCTCAGATAAAACGAGACTTCCTGAATTGAATATCATCTGAAATAATATTAACTCAGATACAATTGACAAAGTAATAAAAAGTGAATCCTTTGATTAGTTGAAGCTATCATACATAAAAGCCACGGATATGTCGACGAATCGAATGTTCAATTTTAATACGACACTCCTACAACTTTAGTAAATAAATTTACAATCTGCTTGTTTCGTAACATGTACGCAATGTTACTACGAATTGGAATCCATTATAAAAACCGGAATCGAGGGAAAACCTGTTGACTTTCTCAAGGGCTCCATCAGGTTCTAAATAAAATAAAACCTCATCAACCGTCATTCGACATTATATGTATAATCTCCAGTTCTAAATTAACGTGTATTTATGAATACATACAATCCGCAACCCACTTGTAAACACAATGCATTTTAATGTTTGAAACAAACTACATATTAATTATGAAACAGTGTCAGCATTTCCATGAAAATATTCTGCACACTTTTCCATACGATATCCACAATTTCGAGCACTTTACCCACAAAAAGATATTATAACGCACTAAACAGAGAGTTAAAAATCTACAAGATATGCTTGCTGCACTGAAATTCATCAACTAATTATGCACAACTTTTATGAAACGTTTTGTGATCTATGTCAGTGATGGGAGCAAACCGATCGCAAATACAGCCAGTGGAACTAATATATGGGATATTTAAAAAAGGGTCTAAGTTTATCATTTTTACTGCGAGGAATAAAAGTGAGAAGTCCTAGAATCAATCTTTACGGTGTAAAATGCACTGTATCGTTTACGATCGTTCGGATACGAAAAGATACTTGAAGACTTCAATATACAATGATAAATAAGACAGTGGACTTACGACAACGAATCTAAAATGCAGGTCACGCAGTACCGCACGCAAGTATTCGTGACATGGACTGCTTTAGGAAAACACAAAGAACTTTCTATCCATTATACTACCAGTTGTTTTTATCTTCTTGATGATATTCCACGCACTGCCCTTCGATATCTTTAGTTTATTTGTAATATCACCAATCGAATAGCCATCACTACGAACAACACACACTGCAGAACGTTGTTCAATTAAAATCACTACAACTTTCGGAATTTTCAACCCATTAGAGCGAATGTTGTTTTGCGAAGGGACGAAGGAAAAAAATGATTAAGGAAAAGGTGAACTTCGTATTTATAAGACTCGTGGTAGGGACATGGTCCTAAAGAAACAATAACACGGAAAACATTTCCCTAGTACAGTATGGTTACCGAGTACAAAATTAATGGAAAAATCCAAACGGTTCATAGTAGTCACAATACGGTCTATTATGCTATTTATGACAATCAGCTAACAAAAACGATGGGCTCTGTTCCCTCAATAATATATAATATATACCATCGGATAAGGTCCGTAAAATATATACCTGAGTCAAAACATTGTCACAAATTCCAAAAGTGTAATTTGGAACGGTGTATACGTGGGTCATATGAAAAGATCATAGAATAAAGTATGAATAATTTCAATAGTTCTGAAATTTTTAGGTCATCGTAGATTTTTACTTGTTATATGTATAAATAAATGTAACGTATTAAGTTAACGTATAGGGTAAACGCACCAATGAATGCACACTTAAGAGATTTTGTAAGTATTAAAGTCGAATTTTAAACAGTAATAATATTAATAAATATTTGGGATATGAAAATTAGACTTTTAATATCTTTACCTTTTTATAAAGTATGCAATTCAACCTAAAAAATTGGAAAAGTGTAATTAATTAAATTAAAGAGCAAAAATACAAATTTCTCCAGTGAATGAACAGTATTCAGTAGATGAACATTTCTAACCAATGCAATGGCGGGAAAATTGTTTGAATATGAATTAGGAATTGAAAATAATCAATATTTAATCATTTGATTATTTTCATAATTTAATTCACTCGGTTTTATATATAATGTTTATTCACTGGCACGTGTTCATTTACTGGTACATCCACCTTACTATGTATAATAGTATTTTCTGTACAACTGCATGAACGAAAACTGATTTTACGTCGTGTACCGCGGCTGCTGGTAAGTTTGTTTGCAAATGAATTAGAATGCAATTTTCTCAAGAGTGTTTAGTATGTTGGCTTATAAAATGGAATATCGTTTGTCCAAATGCATTGATATTAAAGGTGAAAAAATGGAAGTATTTTATAAACTTATCCACTCCGAGAAGTTTCGAACTGACCTACGTGTACAACATGAGACAGGCCAAGAATACACACTTGAAAATGTACTTCGATTTATGATCTACAAACTTTTGTTTTGTACATTTTTTGTAAAATTATTAGCATATTTAATTATTACGAAAGTTATATTTATAATTTTTTAATACACTTTTATTATAATTTTAATTATAATTGAAAGAATGAAAATGATAAATAAAATTATAATAATAATTAAAAGTGGAGTAATAATTTTATAAAAAGTATAAAATACAAAAGTTTGTTTTCAAATTCACAAGAGATGCTCGATAAGTCATACATTCAAATAATTAAAATTTAATATTATTATAATAGTAATTATGAAGATTTTTATAATTTTAATTATAAAGATTAAAAATTAAATAGATTAAGCATTTTTTATTCCGTTCAGTCAGTACTATGAACCCCTAAAAGTATTACACCGTTTCTTCTAACACCCGATAGCGTGATCCTAAAGTAGATTCATTGACGAACAGTCGTCAACTGAGTCGTTTATTTGCCAAAGTGATTAAGTCCACAAAAAAAAACATTTAAAATTGATGATCAATGTAAAAAGTTAAGCACCGATTTAAGTGCTTTGGCACTGAAATTAGAAAAAAAAATGGCCTCTGAACGTCTTAACTACTGACGTTATAGGATCAACGATTGCACGTACGTACAGAATTTCGGGTTATTTTTCAGGTGGGAAATGTAACACGTAATTTTATTATTGTGTCATTGTCAGGGTACATGTTAGCCGATGCCGGATACGACGTATGGCTGGGGAACAACCGTGGCAACGCCTATTCGAAGAGCCACACGTCGATCTCTCCGATGGATCATCGTTTTTGGGACTTCAGGTGCGCTGCTCGCATAAATAACTCGTCCCGGTATATGCAGGGTGTTAAAAAAAACCAATCAATATTTATATGGTACATCCCAGATATCATATGACGCCTTGAAGACACCAATTTTACGGTTATTTTGGGTGTAACAAGTCGCCTTTAAGTCGTCTTCAAGGCGTCACTGAGCGTCATTGGGCGTCATTTGCTATCTGGGATAGGACACACTGTAGTGAGTAAAAAAGCCTTAGTAAACATAGGTCGAAAGGTCAATCGTGTCTGAGACACAAACATTTTTCTATATTAGCATCATAATTGACTTACTACGGATTTTTCGATGTTTACAGGTGTTCCACATAATTTTCTTAACTTTAATTTTCATACACGCTTGGCATCTTCTTCTTACAGAGTCGTGAACTCTATCGATAATTCCACATCTCTGTCGAATCATTTCACAAGCATGGTGATTCGGTTACATAATCCTTCGAAGTCATTTATCGGCGAAGAATGCACTTTTTTTTTCAAATATCCCCATAAAAAGAAGTCCAAATGGTTCATGTATGGAAATCGAATGAGAACATTCAGAACGCGGTTTATAAACATTGAGGTAAACATCGCATGTGATGATAGAAGCCAGTAATTCAATCATGATGCTAAGTACTTAATATACAAAAATGTTTATATTCCAGAAACGGTTAATCTTTCGATCTACATACGTTTACTAAGGCTCTTTTACTGGCAATGTCAGTTGTCAGTGTACAATGTGTCCTATGTATAGGTTGACCATTTTTTCTGCGGTGCAATCCGAGACATTGATCCCGATAGGAAGGGGAAGACGTAATTTTACAAAAAAAAATTAAAAAATTACACCTTACTTAGCGTACCCATGCGGAACGAAGCTAGAATCCGGGACGAATGGTCAACCTACCTATGTACACCCGCGAGCAAACTCGGCTTTCACTAAGGGAAAAAGCAATGTAGGGGTTAGGGCCTCCTACTACTTGGTAAATTTACTAGAAATACTGAAATAAATGTTAAACCGAATGTTAATTTCGCATGAGTTTCAATAACTCCGAGACCAAGTGGTAGGAGGTCTTTCCCTTGCATCACTTTTTCCCCTAGTGGAAGCCGAGTTTGTTCGTGAGTGTACCATATAAACTATTGTAAACATCAAATGGTTTTTTTTTTAACATCCTGTATATTGTACATGTATTCCTCTCAAGTTCAACATATGGGTGTTTCAGCTACCACGAGCTCGGCGTTCACGACCTTCCGGCGACGATCGATTACATCCTCGATCGGACCGATCGTGAAAGACTCTTCTACATAGGTCACTCGCAGGGGACGACACAGTTCTGGGTGATGATGTCGCAAAGGCCCGAGTACAACAAGAAAATCACTTTAATGATCGGTCTGGCCCCTGTGGCATTCTCGGGGAACATGCGGGGGCCGATTGCAAAACTGGCGAAGTTAACATATATGGGCGTGGTAAGTTACAACGCGGGTTTTTCTGACGATTGCATAAAACATCTGTAACCGCCGTGCCCGATGACATCTCTTCTACCATCATAGTTCAAACCATAAACATATACATATAGACGGAGCATAAGCTACCACTTTGGGAGAGGGGACCGTAGGATTGGAGGGGAAAAGACAGCGGTCGTTAGATATACGTGGATTAGCTTCGGATGCATTCGGCACGATTCAGCTCGTTATTAATGGCTGGTGGGCTGTGTGCCGTACTATTATTTAATGCTTTATACTATTTATTAATTTTATTAAATACATACAGGGTGTTTCGTTTAACTGGAAACGGTGGAATATCTCACGAAGGATTAAAGTTATCAAAAAAATGTTCATACAAAAGTTGTTTGGTACAAAGGGGGATATTACGTGGTATAAATAATTTTTCTATAAGTGTAGTAGTGAGGGAGATATCAAAGTCAAATTAAGTTTTTTAAATGGAACCCTGTATTTTTTTATTCATATTATGATAGTTTTTGTTGAGACGAATACAACGAATTGCCACGTGATATCATTCAGAGTTGTAAAATATCATAAATTAAATACAAAGTAGTCAGATCAACACGGATCGTATGTCGTCGGTCAGCTGAACTCTACGTGACTGTGCCATCTACTCGTACCAGACCGATTGTTCCGTTTTTAATAAAATATTCCTGGGATGGAAACAACACCAATATTGTAGCAAATATGAGGAGTTAAGCATACATAATGGATTTTAAATTTCACTTACCACTATCTAACTTATAGTATCAAGAATTAATTAATCATTTTTTACGTCATTTATCCTTCAACATGCCCACCATTGTTACAAATACACGTTTCTATTCTGTTTAAAAATTCTCTTTCGACACTTTTCAACATCTTGTCCGTTATTCTTTCGCATGCGACTATAATCCTGTTTCGTAAATCATCTTAAAATCTTACTAATTTATTACTTCCTATTACAGGGAATGATATCACGTGGCAGTTCATTGTATTCGCCTCAACAAACACTATCATAATATAAACAAAAAAATACAGGGTTCCATTTAACAAAATTAACTTGACTTTGATATCTCCCCCACTACTACACTTACAGAAAAATTATTTATACCACGTAATGTCCCCCTTTGTACCAAACAACTTTTGTACGAACATATTTTTGATAACTTTAATCCTTCGTGAGATATTCCACCGTTTCCAGTTAAATGAAACACCCTGTATATCTGTACAAACTACATGACATACGGAATTTTTAACGTATAATAAGTATATTCTTTTCATCTCTCATAGCATACATGTATGTAACGTGATTGTATACCCGAATAGCACCGAAAAGGAACGAAGTTACCCGATTTATAACTAACCACCCCCTATGGTTCAAACACGCGATGCATAGAATAGAAGAAAAACACAAACAAAAGGTTAAAGGTGCCTCCTATGGAACTTTCGGTGGAAATAGGAATTACCTCGAAACGTCGTTGACATCAGCCATTTGTTTCTTTGAAATACTGGGCCAAGTCATGAGTAATTGCCGTTCTTTGGCACCAATTTTATTACACTTCTACAGAAGTTACAAAATAACTTACAAGGGAAGGCACGGAAGTGTCCCCTTTTTGATGAAACTTCATATGTTTGTTAAATAGTCAAAAATAAGAGAGGCACTTTTTTTTATCGACTGAGACCCGAATTTAAGTGGTGAAACCACCCCTCGAAGTGTCGATCCGAAATGTTTTTGTTATAAACAAATTATATTTTCGACAATTTGTTAGCACCATATTATTCTACATAAAAAACCACAAACCTCGTCCATTAGAAGTTTTCATGTACCTCCTCTGGTTTTCGAGATAGTACTTTCAGGTCAAAACTTCGAGGGGTGGTTTCACCCCTTAAAGTTGCGTCTCAGTCGATACAAAAATACGTATCCCTTATATTTGACGGCTTAACAGACATATGAAGTTTCATAAAAATCAGAGGGGGACACTTCCGTGCCTTCCCTTGGTAGTCTAAATCGTGTTCCCCCAATATTAACCCCCTAACTGCATTTGTAGAGTACAGTAGGCGCCTATTTTATCACTTTAGTGACAATATCTGGAACGTTTCTTACCGATTGGCAATATGAAACTTCTTTAAATAACATCCAAATGTTAGTAAAACGGTGTTACTGTGACTACTACAGTAATTCCTCGATGAATGCGACACGAACAACGGCGTTATTCCCACCACTGCGATGAGGGGTCCCCTCTGGAACCAATCAAAACAGAGTAAATAGAGGCTAAGCAAGGCACGGCTTTGTGCAAAAAAAAATTAATTTATGAGCGGTTGAAAACCTTTCCGCCTTGCCACGAATGCTCTAAAGCGGACTCGAGTTCGTTGCATTCATCGAGACATTACTGTAGTTCATTATTTATCGTGTATAAACACATTGTTTATAAAAAGAAAATGTTACAAATGCTTTAAAGAGTCTTAAACCTTCCTATACGACTTTATTTTTCATCACTACGTTTTCGCTGTACGGACAGTCGAATTACGAATACGCTGATACTGTAAGGGACAATTATGATGCAAACGTCCGTGTTTAACGAAGAGAAAGTATAGCAATTAAATTTGCCGTGTAATGTAAAATATTGGTGAAAAGGAATTAATTAAACGCGTTTTATAGTAATGACGTTTAAAAAATTGTATAATAATATAATTAAATGATAATATAATTTTTTACGACTACAGTCGACGTGAACATACAACGAACGTTGAACGCTGGACGACTATACTAGTCCTTAATATCGAAAGGGTTAAAATGACTATTGGTCCTAAATTTTATGAAAACAAAATTTATACAAGATACCTAAAAGATGCAGTGAGTGGATCAAGCACAACATTTCCCCCATTTATTTGGCAGCTTATCAGTCTCTAAAGCAAAAAGTTTAGTTAATTTTGCCAAGAAGAACGTGTCACTAAACTCGCGTATCTCCAGAACGGAATTTAACAAACTAATTTCGCACTGTACGTTCCGACACTACACTTCCTCCAATAACGTCACATTTCTTATTCGCAGTACTGATCGTATTATTGTCATTTTGGAACTCCCATAATATTACACGACGAGCAAGCTGTCTTTGATTTCTCCATTTCAACTACACAGAAAATTGTACTAGTATACTCGATCTACACTTGCTGACGATTGTTTATAGACTGTTATATCCTCAGATATAAAGGTAACCATGATGGCGACAAGGGATTGCAGGTCAATTGGAATTCCTGAAAAGATTTATGACACAGTACCTGCACCGACAATTACGTAGTACTCAACCCAATATTTAAGATTTGTGTTTTTTTTTGTTGAGAAATTAGAATTTAGACAGTGAAAGTTAACTTGCAACATTCAACAAAAAGTTAGCAAAATTTTCAGTTTACTCTGAAATTACTAGAAGCTTTAAGTGTAAAAAATGAATGGCTGCTTTATTTTTTCGGTTCTTGGAATTGCTGGAGAAAAAGGCGATTTTGCAATAAGTAAAGGCGCGTATTCTCGTATCGTATCACAATACGATAAATTTCTATACACAACGATGAAATACTTGCCCGTCTATATTGGTACACAACGGTGATTATACGAGGATACGCAACAAATGGATACGTACCTTAATAGACGTAACGTATATTTACACGAGCTAACAATTGTTAACAGAAGTATGAAGAAATTGTATTACAAAAATACTACTATCATAAACAAAATCATAATGGATAGATTTTCTTGGGTGACAGATTAGAAATGGCTACAGTCACAAGTGAATGTGATAGAAACATTTTGCTCTATTTTTTACCTTTTTTTTAAGGAGCTATTTTTTCCGTAATAATTGTCAATTGTTATCTGATGTTTTTGGGTGTCTATTAGCATATTATTTTCTTTTCATTGTATGTTTCCGTTGGTTCGATGAATCAATTCGAATTTCATGAATTCTAGTTTATATCTTAGTGTATTACACGCCTAATCTGTAGCATTATGTGCTTTGACCAAAAGCACACCAAATTTCATTAATTAGAGAAACGCCCATTAAGTATTTAATCAACGTACGGATATTCTAAATAAAATGTTATCTATAAAAAAAACTCCTGTACGTTTTTGTAATTCGAAATTAATCATTTACATACGATTATATTACTAATAACTGTACTTATTCGTTCGTTTTACAGAGAGTCGGCGAAATGTTTGGTTATCCAGAAATTCGTATACGTTCCAGTTGGGGAAAGTTCGTCACGAATCTGCTTTGCAAAGAACGAACCGTATCAATGACGCCGCTCTTTTGCACTAATTTTGTGTTTATAGTCACCGGTTTCAGCCAGACGGAATTAAACGCGGTATGGTAATATAAATCAGATATGTAACTGCCTTTTCAATAGTGGAAGAGTCTCCCAAAATTCCCTCGACTGACCTCCAAAAACCTCGAAAAATTCTACAGCACCATGTGGAGTAGAAATTAATAAAAGATTTCTCAACAAAAATATAATCACTGTAAATCTTGACTCGAAATAACAAATATATAATATTAAATAAATTGAGGATGGGCCATACAAAGCTCACACAGTCATATCTACTTCCTAAACCGACTCTGCAAGTTTTAATGTACATGCGTAATTGTCAAATAAGCGTGATACGTATTCTTTTAAACTGCACCAGCCAACTTATACTTCATGCATGAATATATTGAAAACTATTGAGTATCTGATCCTATAATGAGGTATTTTCGTAAAGAGAACAATGAAATCTACAACTGTTCAGAGCATGGTAAATCCTCGATGAGTGTTCGAAGGCTCCTCAGCACTGACAAGAAGAGGTCCCTAGATGTTACACTGACTTATTAATCAGGTTTAGCACAGCGGTGGAGCTTGGAATTCTGAAGCCAATGATATTTGTTTCAGCCGCATGTGGCCATTAATTTGTGGAATATGTAATGTTCAGTGCAGTGCCAAGAAACCTTGGAACACTCATCGAGAAAGTAAATTCCAAATTAAAGAAATTCTTAATGAAAAGCTCAGTGAACATTAGCAGTCATCAAAAATATTCTCTTTCTTAAGAGACTCAAATGTTCTATAGCAAAATCTAATTTTCCACAGTTTGTTCATCCAATACTATCGTCGCTAATACCTAGACTGCGGATGTTTATGCAAATATAAAATTTTATGGACTAATTTCTCGTAACTGGATGCAAGAAAAATTTATTTATACTGTTAAGAGTTCTGGTAGGTTCGGAATAAAAAGAAAATCTGAAGAAACTTTCTGTACTTCTTGCAGTACTAAATTTTAAACGATTGGATGTTCTGTTAATGCAAGATAACCACAGTATACTAATAACCGTGTATATACAATTAATGTGTCTCTTGAAAGACAATCAGATATATCTTCGAATTTACCTGATGGAAATTCAAATGTTTCAGAACGAACTGACGGTCATTATGAATCACGTTCCTGCGGGAGCATCTTGGAAGCAACTGGTTCACTTCGGTCAGGGTTACATACACAAAGGTGAGCGATTATAAATAATACAAACAATGGGAATTCTTAGAATAGGTTAAATAAGAAAATTAAAAATGATACGAATACTACAGAATGTAAATTTTGTGTTTTTAAAACATATGGGCGAATGTTTTAGATCTCTTTAGACACTATGATTATGACAATGAGAAGAAGAACTGTCAATTGTATAATTCGTCGGTACCACCGGAATATGATTTGAGCAAAGTGACTGCACCGGTTGTATTGTTCAGCAGCGACAGTGATTTGCTCGCGGTACCAAAAGTACGGAAAGTCTATGAAAATTGAAAATTATAATAATGAAATGATGATTGTTGTATTAATAAATATTATTCCGTTTCGGTAGGATGTAGATCTTCTGAAAAGGAAACTTTCTAACGTGGTGTTGCACGAGGAAATATCTGTTCAAGAGTTCAGTCATTACAACTTTTTATGGGGAAAATCTTCCGTGACCTTTATAGTTGAACCTGTATTAAAATTACTTGCGGTCTACAAATGAACTTGTATCTGACCATAATGAAATGAACGCGATACGATTAAGGAGAAATGAGCGAGAAAATATAAATTAACAACTGTTTAATAAAGAATCGTGTGAAAAGGAATATTGAATTGTAAAGTTACTTTATTTCGAGCTCTCAAGAACTCACATTCTCGGTGTTTTGCTTTTCTTATATTTTATTATAAATAAAACGCACTACACAAAGTTCTGTTTTTTTTTCTTCTGTTGTTCTTGTATCAATTGTACGATTAACTTCTTTTAATTACTAACTGATACGTATCGAACAGTATTACGTGAAATTAATAACCACAGTTACTGTACAACTTGTTCTCAGCCTGGAAGTTATGTCAACACGATGGAAAACTGAGTGTCAAGTAACAAGGCATAAATTGCTTTAGAATTCCTCTCGTATATATAAATGATAACAAGCATTCATTTCTCTTTAGTTTGAGCGCTAACAGTAGAATATTTTAAATAACGTAGTTCTCATTTTATAATGTTATCTTCGTAGTCTTTACTTGCAGCAAAAGCCATTTTTTCATTAATATACTTTTAAATATACTCTTGGAACTGCCGTTTGGAACATACTTTCTTACACACGAAAAAACATTCACTTTTGTTATCATTGTAAAGAAGTAACAAACATATAAATGATTGTAGCGAACAAACGTAAGAGCAACAATTTCTCGATTTTGTTTACAACAATGATGTTTCAACAAACGATAATGCTCTCTTTTTAATTGTTACGAAACAATTACAATTACGTTATGCATACAGAACATTAAAATTCATTGTATTTTTTGTTCTATATATAAACGAAATAAAATGAATTACAATAATCTCTGAGTCTATGTACATGCATAAATATATATACATTTAGTATACAGGGCGAGGCACTTAAATAAAACGAAGCTTGTAATTAACATACCATGTACCCTTATAATCTTAAGTATTTGTTATAGTAGTACTACTTCGATAATTTTCTTTTCTTTTATCTCTCCACTGATATGTTTTACTTTCACGAAAATGTATAGAAAAGGAATGCAAAAATACATTTCATTTATTCCTGACGAGGACAAATAAAGACATTCATTGAAAAAAGGATAACGTACGATAACTATTATTTAATTACACATAAATAATCAAAATTAAATTATATTATTTTATTTCCATTGTCAAACTGTAAACTAAAATGATAGTTTTTAATTTTATGTATACATGTTAACAGAAAAATCATCTCCAAATATTTGACAATTACATCAAAATGTCTCACTCTGCATAATATAGTATACATATCCGGCATGTAAGAATTTAAGAAAAAATATCAACCTTGTATAAAACTTGTTTATATAATGTGTTTTGGCAATTTTATTTTCGTGTGTGTCCTTACTCTAGATTCCTCTCGAATTACCCTAACTTCATGTCAAATCTTCATAACTCTCTAGTTCTTTTATCAAGAGTTTTAACATTTCTCTATATTTATAATAATCACAGGAACGAACAACTGTCAGCAGTAAACAATTTTGCTGTAATGGAACACTTAAAGAGTAACTTAACTATAATGGATTATTTAAAACTGCAACAAAATCAATTGCTTTTAGTAATTATTCTTTCATACTATGTAAACTATTATGATTTCTAATGAGTACAAAAAGGTACGATAGTGGAAGACTTTCTTCTATTTTACTATAATGTAAAAATTCTGTAAAAAATGATCGAATAAATTCTGTCCTCTTTAATTTAATCTGCAGTAAAATTAGATTGGATTATCAAAGAAAAATATTTGTTATTTTGTGCAATTTTTTGCTTCTTAGTCATTCTTCGTTCTTTTATTTTTCTCTTATAAGTAACGTTGACATTGTTTAACCGAACAAAAAGAAGTTCGACACCAAAATTGTTTACTGTGTGACTTTCACGCCCTTGACGCACGTAATTGATGAACAAAATATTTAAAAAAAATGTATAATACTATACTGTGATGTGATTAAGATTCTTTGTAATATACATTGCAATCAACATATCTCTTTTTAAAAGTGTTTAGTAGTATATATATCGTAGTTTCAAACTGACTGTATAAAAAAAAAAGAAAAAGAAATGTAGAAAAAAAATTAGTTCTTTTAGAAATATACTTACGTTTGTTGTATTCTTTTAAAACGTATTTCATCTATAATATACAGTGTTCTTCTTAAATAGATATTAGTTCGTTAGAAATATATTGTTACTATTGTTTCAGTGAATACGTTCATGCAAGCGATATAATAGGATCGTATAATGCTCGTAAGTATTTAATAGAACGACTGCATAACGGAATGACATTATCTACGAGATTAATCGAAGCAGTCAGGTACATTTTCTGTTTTAATTCATTTCTCATCTAGAAAATAGCTGAAAATAATACCCATTAATACGCTCAGTTGCAGCACCATGTGAAAGAAGAGTCAACATGATCGTATAATATGTGGCGCAAATTAAATACTTTTTTTTTCTTCCAATACTTAAATACAAGGATTATTCTGTAAACTTCAACGTTGTTACAGGTTCTCAAATCTCTTGCAATCTACAAAATTTATATTAACTATTGATTAGAGGCAATCTCGTAATATTAAACAAGCCTTATTTAGCTTAATTTAATGGAAGGCAAAACATTTGCTTTAAAAGTCCTTTCTTTGGACTCTCATCTTCCTCATCATCGTAATTATGTTCATCGTAGTTACTAATGATCTCATTGTTATTGCTAGAGCCATAAGTAACATCTGTGATACTTAGAGAACTGGAGCATATCGGACTTTCGTATCGGAATGGAAAAGGTGGCGATAACCGATATTCGTTATAATTATTGTCGTTCTCATTCTCTTCGGAGTACGTCATTAAAAAAACGTTGTTATGATAACCTCGATTTCTTGAGCTGATATTCAATAGAGGATCAATATGAAGCTTCGCAAGTTTCTCTTGCAATTCATACATGTAACACGGTTGAAATTCTTGCTGATTTTGATTGTGACGTTGCACAACAACAAGCGGTTCTTGTCACACGCAGTCTTCCAGAGACATGAGTAACGGGTTCACATATTCGAAACCCTCGAATTCGCTCTGATCAATTTTGTCGATCACCCTCCTAGAAAATATTTTCTTCGATCAGTAACGTTGCATAATATGTTTCTTTCTAAACCAACGATGTACAACCAAAAACTTACGGATCATCCGGCGTTAAATGAACTGGTTCATCTGTAAATTCTGGTGGGAAGTTTGCTAAATCACGGTCAGAATCTAAACGTGGTTTATAAGGCGGTGTAACCTGCTTCTGTTCCAACTGTAAATGTAATAAAGAATATATAAGCGAAACTACTCAAGCACAGACTTCTTAGTAATTCATATGTCACGATAATTACCATTTCCCAATCAATTGCTTTGAAGAAAGGATGTGCAACGATATCCAGAAAAGCAGTTGGCCTTTTGCCACAGCCTAGTCTTTTTGTAGGGTCTTTGCAAAGGAAACCTTTAAGGACAGAAGCCGCTTTAACCGATAACGACCTAGGTATACGAATGGTTTTCTCTAAAATAACTTGGAACAGGTAGTCTTCGGTATTCTGATCGGGATTTTCCGACGCGCCCGCGATATCAAACGGGCTGCGACCAGCGAGCATTTCATACAGAAGTACTCCAAGTGCCCACCAATCTACAGAGAAACTATAATCGTCACCCTGTAATATTTCAGGTGCGATATAATTTGGAGTGCCGCAAAACGTCGAGGTTGTGTCGCCCTCTCGAACGCCCTCTTTGCACATTCCATAATCGGTTAATTTAACGTGTCCTTCGTGATCAAGTAGTACGTTGTCTAACTTTAAGTCTCTGTATATTATACCTGCAACAGAAAATAATTATGAATTACGTGTACCCCTGCGACAAAAACATTAAAAGCAATTTCCTGTCAACATTTAATTGTATTCAATAAACCAATTTGACTAATACACATGCATCAGGAGGAGCGCCCTATTTGATAAAACTCTTTGGAAATCTGCTGATTCTAAACGTTAATTCCGATAGTGTATCGCTTTTTAGATATTTACCCTTTTCATGTAAAAAGTTTAAGGCGAGGCTAATCTCAGCTGCGTAAAATCGAGCGTGCTCTTCGGGAAGACGACGTTGTCTCTGCATGTGAAACATAAGATCACCGCCTCGTACAAACTCGATCACGAAGAATAACCGCGAGGGTGTCTGAAAACACGAGTGAAGGCCCACAAGAAAAGGATGATTCGAGGCAGTTTCGAATACGTGTTTCTCCGTTTGAACCCAGTCGATGTCCTCGTCGTCCGTGACCAAAGCTTTCTTGATCACTTTCATCGCATAAATCCTCTTTGTACGCTTCAGTTCCACCATCAATACTTTCGCGTAGGAACCACGACCGATTACCTTGATGAGTTCGAAATCATTCAACGAGTATTGCCTTTGCATATCATTCGTGTTGTCCGCATCGTTCAGTGTATCCAACGGCAATTCCTCCCTCTCTTCGCTTCCGGTTCCTGCAACAGTACACAATTTTACAACTCCAAATACATAAAAATCTTTTTACATCGAATGACAGGGTGCCGCAGTTTTCAACTCGGTCGAAACCAAAAAAAAAAAGAGAGAGAGAGAGAGAGAAAATGTTCTTACGATTGCGTGAATGCTCCTCGATGATCGGCGAGTCCGAGATCTCATCCTCGAGATGAGCGACCGGGCTGCACTGAACGGAATCAAGCTGTTGATCGCCGTTCCTGTCGATCGTCTGCGCCTCGGTGCTCGGCATCTGTTGTTGTTGCTGTTGCTGTATGCTCAGGCATGATTTCCGCACCACCTTGTGGCACTTCTTGTGCACGAGCAGCTTGCATTGTATGCACTTGAATCCCTGTCGACCTAGTCCCCATATCCGATCCTGGCAGAACGCGCAGAACGCTCGCTGCGGAAAGTGGCAACAAAAAGGAGAAAAGTTAAACGAATCTTAATCGGTGCACATTTTTTCCATTCGAGGCCCTCAGAACCGAGAGTAGTGTAAGTCCAAAGAGAATCGCGTGTCTAATTACAATCAATGACTTAATTCAACTCCCTTCTCGTCTTTTCTCTCCTCCTCCATTAGGGGCTCCTTTATCCATTACCTCTTTAATTCTCCCCAACCCTCCTTATCCGCGAACTCTACACGCATCATCTCTCCTTTGCTCTTCTTCACCCCATATTATCATCCCTTCTTCATCGCCCTCGATCTAAGCCCAACGACCCCTTTACCGCACCTCCTTCCATCTCCTTCCGACACCCTGTAAACTCTTTCTACATTATCCGTTCCTAACCTCCTCTCTCACCCTTCACCCTTATCCGGTTCTTGTCCCATCCACCTCCGAGTGAAATCGACTTACACCGCCCTCTTTAACCCCGTGGCTCGAGGCGACGAAGAGACCTAGGGTCCCCGAGACCGTTTAAACACAGAATAATTCCCGGAGACCACTAGCCAGCAAGTTCCTTTCATCAGGAATTAATCTATCACCACCGACCTAGAAGGCTGCTTCTTAGAAACGGAAGTGTGTAACAGGTACGCATACGTATATGTATACACAGCCGTCTGTTCTGTGCACGATGGAGAGAAAAAAAGATGGTGCGAAATTAATACTCGAGAGCAGCGTAAAAGCGAGGGTGACGGGCGGGCGAGCGAGCGGGCGGCTGGAAGGAGAAGCGTATGGAGGGTAGTAATTGAATGAGAGAATATGATATATGCTTACCCGATTGAAACGTTTCGCTTGAAATATATGACCATTCACCCGGTACAGCTTCCTCCATCTACGTGCGCCGCGTCTGTAGATGCTTCCTTTGAAAAATGAAAAAACATAAATATCACAGGAGAACAGAGAATTGAAGCGTCTGTCTGGAAGTGTCTTGCGGACGGTGTTCCTCGGTTTCGGAATATACATGTACGGGGTGATGAAAAAAGGGAAGGATCCATAGGTTCTAGGGGAAATAGTACTCGCCAAATGATGACAAAAGGTCCCAATAAATATGAATTGAAAAATTAATATTTTCAAAGTGATAAACAATTTTTCGGTTAAACCGATTGACCTTCCAGCTTCGGGAGCTATCGTACCGTACGGAGAGAATGAAGAAAATTGTAAAAAAAATTAACAAAAAACTGTAGAAAACTTTCTGTAACCAGAAAAGAAGAAATGATCAGGTAATCCATTGTTTCCGTACGGTACGATAGCTCCTGAATCTAGAAAGTAAATCGCTGTAATCGAAACAAAAAAATTGTGTATAACTTTGAAAATATGAATTTTTTGACCCATGTTTATTAGGAGTTTTTCTTATCATTTGACAAGTACCATCCACCCCAGAAGTTTCGAATGCTTTTTTTTGTATCACCCTGTATACATATCGAATTATACTCTACGACGGCCGATGTCACATCACGAGAATCATGTATATATGGAAATTTTTGCATGCCTTTGCTACTCTAGCCCCCGCGGCCCAATTACGACGAGAAAATGACGTGTCCCGAGGTTCGCACCCAATGGTGGGGTAGGGAACGAACAAAAACACTGGATCGTTGAAATACTGCACCGAAAGATCCGCAGTAAAACTGCAACTCGGCCGAGTTCCTCCATAGTCCCGAGCGTCAAAACTATCGGATAATCTTGACAAGAGCGACGAAACAACCGAGCTACAGAATTTGTAAACACGATGGGATAAGAACATTTCGACCGTGGGCCTGTGACATTCAAAATAGTGATGGGCGATATTTATCAATAATTGTATGTATCGTTATTTGCCTATCGAAATATCGCTACTTGACTAATAATTACAAGTATTGAGAAATTTTGTCAAAATATCGATAATTTTTACAAAAAAGAAAACTGATTGAAAAGAAGATAAATACGACGAGTAATTGCGACGTCAGTCCCATCTGAGAGATTGTTTCCTCAAACTGCATTAATTTTAACCGAAAAGAGAGATCGTTTATCTATTACTAACACTTTCAACAATTACCATTTTTAAACTGTTTGTCTTTAAAAGATTGGAATTTATAAGTTTTGTATGTATATTTTCTAATAATAAATCAATATTATTTGAAAAGTAAATTACTTGTTTTCATTCCAATACTTTGAGTCTTAATTTAAATAGAATAATTTCTTAATATTATGCAAAAACTGTTATTTTAGTAAATTCTATTTGATTCAAAGTGATATTCTCTTAAATATATGCAGCTTATTTTTTAATTGGTAAATTGATAGGATTTTCATATCGATACTTTTTGAACAATATTCTCATGTATCGATATTTAACGAAAAAATATTTATCGATATTGTAACCAATATCGTACATCTCTAATTCGAAGTGGTTTTTTGTGTGACACCTAACCTGCCGCGAACGGGCCGCCACCTATACGGTGCCCTTCTATCGGCACACGATTCACAATGGTAAATGATGAAATTAAAATTGAAAAGAAAATGAAGAGAATGTGCGTCGAGATCGCCGATGAGCAATTTGGTCGTAATGAAATCGTTTTGATTTGCGGCGGCAATCAATACCAAAATTAAAGAGAAACCAAGCATCGATCCAACGAAAAACAAAAGCTGATATATACGCAAACGATAAATCGTAATCGTTGACGTGAATCGTTCAGCCAGACCAATCGTACCCTTTGTCATGATAAACTCAAAAGAAACTTATATCGCTAATCGTACAACTCGCTGGCTAGTATATGCGTGTTTTTGGGATATTGCTGAGCGAGCGTATATGTGTGCTAGAAAAACTTCATATTGTCACTGTAACGAAAAAACTCACTGTCTTCTCCCTGACAGGGCATTCCAGGTGCAGGCGGGACGTTAGGAAAAACTGGAACAGAAACAAACGAGTTTTGTGTCAGTCGAACATCGTTTTTCTCTCGTATAAACATGTCTCCCTCCCTCTCTTTATCGGTGCACAACGTCTCACAGATTCGTTTGAACAGAATTAAGTAATATAATATTCAAAACAAAAAAAATCGTGGAAATCTTTACGATTTGTACTATGTAGGTAAGATATTTGAATGCCTGAATGGTAATAACATGTAAATGGTAATAATGGCATGATATTTAAAAGATTTTTACAAAAGAATGACGAATTTTACAAAGATTCGAATAAATCTGTGAACGACTGTACGTAGGATATTCGAGTATTATTAAAAAATAAGCTTGTAACAATACGTTTCTCTTATAGTTTATTCGTAACAAAAAAAAACTGTATGGTTCAACCTTCGGAAGGCGAAGACGGGACATTTCTGACCTAAGCCCACATCTGCTGTAAATATTTCGTCAAATGTTTTAACCTGCTTTTTAGCGTGGGCTTATAGTACTCTGGGTCTCGACTGACCCATGTTCGTCATCCAAGGATTAATATACATATAGCTCGTTAATTACACATCTAATTTGATCGTAGAGCACTCTGGGTGATCGAGGACCCGGTTTTCGTGTCACGAAAAGAATATCTCATGAATATTCATTCATGCAAAATGTGCATCTTGATAGTAATTAGCTTGGGTTTCGTTTCTTTCTCGATACTCTGAACACTAATAACTACATGTATAATCCGTTTTCTTTTTTTTGGAGGTCGTAAAATAAAGGATTATTTATGAATTTTTTATACAAAAAGTTTATCAGATTGTTTTGTATTATCTTTAACTATTGGTCTAAATTTTTGCGTGACGACAGAATACAAAATATTGTCGATGCAGAGTGATGTCTGGCGCTGACGAAATGTACCCAAAGAATTATCTGAACTACAAAAAGAAAGAGATTCTTAATTTGTATGAATATCACTATGGTAATAGATTCATTAAGGAGAATAAAATTCATCTTAATCATTTTCTTTCTCCTTAATGAATCTACTAGCATAGCCACATTTATACAAATTATGAATCTGCTTTTCCTTTTGTGTTTCATATAATTCTCGAAGTACATTCCGTCAACTCCAGCATTTTTTCAGTGCCCCCAGTCATTACTCTTGTATTGAAAAATTTTGTTTTTCTTTTGTTGTCTCACAAAAATATAGAACAATAGTTAAATACAATAGAAAAAAAGTATAATCTCCTAATTAATCTGTCGATAAGTTTCTATGTAAAAAAATTCGCAGAAAATCACCTATTTTACGGCCTCGCGAGGTCGAATTTCCCCTGAAATTATCCATACTCCAACCTCGTTTTCCATTTTCGCGAAAGCATCGGACTACGTTTCACCTCGCGTCTAACAAGCTCCGCGTGTACGAAGCACATTTTTTAACCTTCTCTCTGTGTACAGGGGTGCAAACGCACCAGGCCAATAAAAACGTAATTCAAACGTTCCGGAATGGAAAATTTACAACGTTTTCTTGGGTATGCTATCTGCGATATGTTTCACACGTAATTTGAACTAAATTACTATCCTCTTAAAAATCAATAAAACTTCACAAACACTTACACAGCCAACAGTTTTTTTTTAACATTTTGCACTGAAAATGCATGGGGTGTAACTACACCCCAGCACACGGTTAACGTTAATATATTTGTACACAGAGAGAAGGACAAAGTACACTATCGAAAACTCGGCGCGTCAAATATAAAGTACAGAAGGGTTCGTTGATAAAACGAATGAAACAATCGTATCGAGCTATTCAGTGAGTACTAACAGAAATCATGTATCACGTAGAACGTTATCATTACGACGTGTGATATCCCTTGTCAGCTGAACATAGAGACAATGGCGAGCCAAACTATCGACGGTGGAATAGGCACCACGTGGACGTGCTTATTGCTCTCACTGGTCTAACGAAATTTCATACGGATAACAATCTAATTAAGTGTCTTTCCTGCGAATGCCGTAGACCAGCCGCAGGTACGTGACCTGTACTGTTACTTTTGTTCGGTAAGCCGATCCATGAAACCGCGGCCCCGATAACGCGTACCATTGAATCGAATCGATGCGCGATCGCGTTTATCGCTTTATCGGCGAGACACCTTCGTGGACACGGGATACACAGGTAGGTGCTACGTTGTTTTCAATCTGTTACGCGTTTTACGTTACACTCGCGAGCAGGTAATCGATCGCACTCGAAACTATCAGCGGGGCTTGCTTTTAAAATTAAACAAATCATCCCACTCTTGTTTAGCGGCCGTGTATACGGGGTGTCTAAGTTTTGTACATTTCTAGACTTTCTTTGAAGTTTATGAAGAAAAAAATTCTGTTAAACAAGAGTCGACCTAAAGGGTGTTCTACACAATTAAGACAAGCCATATCATTAAGGGCGGGATTCTTGTGTAAAAATTCTGGACATAAGTGATTTTTGCACATTTTTTTGAGAAAATTATTGATACTATGAGAGTAAACGATCTTGGAAATTATTAAACCAATCTCTTTGAAACTTTAGGAATACTTTATTGTACAATTAAACTGAATATAAAAATGTTTATTTTCACGACAAATCCGTAGATATTATTGTGATAAGGTTTTCTGTGCATCCCATGAGCTAAAAAAGGTGTTTCGCGCCGGGGAATGTAACTTAACAAATATTCAGCCAAATGACCCGGCATTACATGTAGGTACATATTCTTTAACATCTTCTTCACAATATGAACCTACATTTATAATTTTATTGTTTCAATAAATCATACATTTTAGCCTTTTTTACTTGAAAAAAGTTGGCTGTCTTTAACAAAATGTCATCCGTTTTTTAATTTTGCATTGTTTAGCTTCAAAACAGGTTCATGCTGTGAAAAAAAATGTTAAAGAATATATGTACATGCAAGACTGGGTTAGTTGGTTGAAAATTCTATTAGTTACATACACCGGCGTGGAACACATTTTTTACTCATGTACTGCACATAAGTCCTTGTAACTATGTATAATATTTATGGATTTGTGGTGAAAATAAAAATTCTTGTATTCAATGTAATTGTACAATAAAATATTCACAAAGTTTCAAAGAGATTGGTTCAATACTTTCTTTGTAATAAATTCCAAAAATTCGTTCATTTTTAGCTGTTTACACCAGGCTCTCACCTTAAATTATAAAAAAAAAATAGTGTTCTGTTTCAATTCTTCTTATTGTTTATTGGACATTACGCAAGACTTGTGATCCTCTTCGACGATGTAACTATTGTTGGCATGCAGTGTAGCATCTGTCACAGTCATCAGAATGCAAAAAGCTAAGAAATTTTCTGAAAGCTGGATAGTTTACGCTGGGATTGTGCCTATTTTAAAGGAAAAATATGAAAAATTAGAAAAGTTACAGCGTTTAGAAGAAAAACTTAATTTTTTTCTGCAGATAAGTTAAGTCTGTTTTGTATAAAAAAATATTATAAATTACAAATAAAATAGAAATTAAAAGCATAATCCCTGGAGAAATGTATATCGAATTAAATGAGTTTCGTCCGAAATTGATCAGTCGATTAGTTTTTAAGTTATCCTGCACACCAATTTCGAAAACATGGTTTTAAGAAAAACACGCGTAAAGTTATGTCGCTTGCCGTTTCGAACTCTGGCACGACACACTAAACAGGCTGTAACTTCTTTGTTTTTTATAACTCAACTTTCAAATTGTTCGAGCATATTGTTGACATGTTATACCTTTAATTTATGTAACTTATATAGAATAAATTTTTCCTAATGAAACTTTTTCCTATCTTCTACTGTCCTGACGTTATGGCTTGACTCAGTTGCGTTGGACGCCTTGTATATTTAAGTGTGTATAACTTTTGTAAAACAGATATTCTGTATTTGCATTGTTTTCGGAGAAGTGGATGTTACCTTTTGTTGTTTAAATGAAACAATACCGTTTTTTAAAAATGTTTCGCTAGGACGAATAATTGTGTCAAATCTAACGACTATAAATATGTTATAAAAAAGGAAATATGTACAAATATTGTAAAAACAGTCAGTAAAGGTGTAAAACGTGGTCGTATATCAAGGCGTTCCCCTTCAGAAACAGTCGAACGCCCAAAGGTACAAATATACCGCTGCGTTGCATAACTTCTGTTGACTTTTTACACGTTATTTGTATCTTTTTTGTAACATATTTATAATTTCTTATGATTTGTTCTAATAAAAAATATTTTTAAAATGCTGCAGTTTCATTCAAAAGGTAACATTCATATCCCCCAAAAAATGCAAATAAAGAAACACTGAATTACGAAAGATGTGCACATTTAAATATAATACAACTTTTGTCCAACACAATTTTTTTGTAAAGTTCAAGTCCTGAAATTTCGCGGCGAAACTAACGTGGGACACGCTGTATATCTTATTGGGATTTTCGAACTGTCAGTGTATAATCAATTCGCCACGGGTCTAGAAATCATATTTCACCTGGTCGATCAAACGAGGTGATTTGTTATTCGATTATTCATCCGAATAGAATCTGATTTCAATCTTTTGTTTACCTTGAACAGTTTAAAAATCGAATTTCCCGAGAAGAATGGCTTGCCTTCAGAACAAATTTGAGATGCATCCTTCGTATTTATTAACGATCTACAGCGTGACCACTTGCGAAACTGTTTCACCGTGGCCAAGTATCACTATAGACATTATTTATCGCGAATTTGCAATGCAACGATCGAGTGTTAATTACGCCCGTTACACAGCGATCCCGATGATCAAACGGGAGCAAACGAGAAACTCTTGAATTGGTGTCGCGACAACAGCTTTATTATGCCACTTGGCCCTCCCCTTTTTCGCCCCTTGTATTATTCACCGATTCTATACATCCCAGACCCGCCCCTAAGGTCACACGTCGCTAAATAAATTCCATATCGTGTTAGCGATCGCGCTGGAATAAATAGAAACATTTTCATTAATTGAATAGAAAATAATAATTTGTATCTTCCAGTTCGTTCCAGAAGTAACTTATACGGCAAATGATTTACACTAATTCCTAATATTGGAAGAGATTAGAGTAAGCTTGAAGAGAGAGAGAAGAAAAAACACTAACTTTCGGATACAAAAGCGTATATCAACCGATCGAATCCAGTCAATTCGAAACGTAGCGATACGTGTGAGCAGCCGCGGATTCTTCTGAAACCATAAAAATATGGGCCAGGCGAAAGATGATTAGATAAGCGCACATGTTAGCACACCATCTCGAAAACACACACACACACACACTTATTCTTCGCGGATCAATATTTTGCAATTGCATCCGACCACCGAAAGCTCGGGCGATTGCCCGGTCGAATCACGAATTACATGATTATCCCAGCGATAAACCAACGGTATTTGTAGTAGACGTAACAACAACAAAACAACATTCAAGTATCAAAACATTATATAAACAAAATAACCCGCAAAACGGAAGGAACAGAAGCATTGAATGCACCGTAAGTATGTGTCTTGATCGACAAAATCTAATCGAAGCTCGGTAGAACGTCAGGAGACCAGACCTACCCCAGGTGATGTCGTTGAACCAAAATTGCGACGATCCGGTGGTTTCGTCGATCATAGACGATACAGGATGATCCGGGAGCGGGTTACACGGTCCATGTACACGGCACGTATTAGTCCCGATCGCTCGATTGTTGGTCGCGTACATCTCTGTAGCGACCACCTCATCGAGGTCGACCTCCGAAGTGTCGTCTTTGTCGCAGAGAAGCTTCATTCTGGACGAGGATCCACCAGCTGGCACGAATATATCATCGCGGGGGCTGTTATTCGGCGAGCAATCGCTACGTATACCGGCAATAGGTTGCTCGTACTCAGCGGAATCGCTGCTGGGAGACGGTGGATAAGTGCTGCTGCTTGATTTAATCGGTCGTTCACGCGGCAAAACTTGAATGCCCGTGGACGAGGTCGACGGTCCTTCCATCGCGGATGGTATCTTACGAACAGCTGCGGCTGCGGCCGCGGCAGCCATAGCCGCCGAATAAGAATAGAAGGAACCACCCTGTATCATCATACTGCAGGGTGGTTCCTCCGCTGCGGCACCACCAGCACTACCAGCACCGCCGGATGATGAACAAACACCACCGAGGTCGGACTGTCCTTGCTGTGCACCGTATAACATCGTGATCCCCGGTTCAGTCTGATGAAACTGTTGTTGTTGCTGCTGCTGCTGCTGCTGTTGTTGTTGTTGTTGTTGTTGTTGCTGCTGCTGCTGCTGCTGATGCAATCCTTGATGCTGTTGTTTATCCTTTTCCCGACGGGGTGACCGACCCCGATCGCTGACTGACGTCGCGCTCCAATAACCCCACGCCATTTCGCCACAAATTTACCCGTATTTAACCTCTGTCTCTATTTCTCTTTCTCTCGACGATCACCTCGATCCTGGCTGCCTAATAATCCCCGTCCGCGCGAACAGCCGTCCGTACACCACTGGAGCCTCCCGTGTCTTTTGCTCGCTGTGGTGTCACCCTCTAAACTCCCACCCACCCCGAGAGAGTTTTCCCTACTTTTCCTTGCAAGGCCTGTACGTGCGCACACGGTCTCTCAATCTATCTCTTTCCGGCCTCTGTTGTCTTTCCCTTCCACTCTCCTTCTTTCGCTTCCACCCGTCCACCTCCACTGCTCCCCCCTTCTTGCGTCTCTCCGCTACACCCCGTGGCCCGACCTCTTGCCAGGAGAGAGCCCGGCTGAGAATGCGACGAGTCAGCGCGATCGATGCTGGTTTATCGCCACTTTTGCAACCTCTCCTACGGTGACAACACACCACCGATTGTTGAAGATACACACGGCCTCCACTCAATATGAATCGCGGTGGTACATTGAAACACGGGCCTACGGGGCTGCCTGTCCCGCCGTTGTGGATACTTCCAGCTACTACCACCCTGTTTTATCTTTTGCCGGATGAATCGTTGGGGGTGGTGGTAAGGGATGATGGACTGGCTATCCTTTCGCGATCCACCCCGTTTTCTTTTTCTTTCCTCGACCCCCAATGAGATTTCCGGTTAGCCTTCCTCCGCGCCCCCGTTTCGCCCGCTCTTACCAGCCACTCGGGCGGATTTCCACGAGGAGACTCGCGGCTGGCTAATCGGTCCGCGTAAGAATATCGACTGCTAGCCGCCGGATTCGTTAACTACCGTAACCGCGCCCGACCAGCATTACGAAATGCGCAAACGCTGGGACAAAGCAACCCCAAAAACTCGGAACTTGATGATTTCACGTTCAACAAACCACCCGCGACTGTTGTTACACCTCTGTGGCGTTTTCCCTGGTACTTTCCGCCCCGCTAATCACACTCCCTGTCTGCTCAATCTCGTGCTTCCTCTTCGATATTATTCTCCTTCTGTGTTAACGTTCTTCCTTTCCTGTCGCCCTACTTCACCCCTTTCTCTCTCTATCTTTCTTAACTACTTTCTTCTCGCTTAACTACGGTTCTTATGCCGTACGTACCCTCGGCTTTTTTCCCCGGCTTTAAGAGCCTCTTCTTCTTATTGCCTAGTTTCTGGCGTGTTTACATACCACTCTGATGAGCTTTGTTAATTACTGTGTAATCACGAACCTTGGCTACGGTCACGCGTAAATGGGACGATTGTTTAAGGGACTGCGGATTCAATTTTGTTTTTTACATTATCGATTATGTAACGTGGATTTTGAATGCGGTTGTTGGACTTGTGATTAGTTAATCAGTTGAGCTGGTTATTAGAGTAATAAATTTGTACAATATATGTATGAATCGTTTAGTAATTTCACGTGAATTAAATCAAACGTTACGACATGAACGTAGGATTATTAAATTGTTAATGTCGTGTAAACAGTATGAAAGTATGTACAGTAAATCCTCGATGAGTGTTCGAACGCTCCTCGACACTGAACATTAAATATTTCGTAAACTTATGGCCATATGCGGCTGATACAAATATCGCTGACTTTAGAATTACGAGTTTTATCACTGTACCAAATCTCATTGAAAAGTCAGCGTTACAACTAGAGACCTCTCCTTGTCAGTGCCGGAGAGCCTTCGAACACTCATCGATGATTTACTGTATAGGTAATTATATGTTTAATTGATACAATGCAGATTGTATGTACACATGGCATAGTATTCTTGTGTTATTTTCAAGTTAACCCTTATAACGCCACACGCTCGTGTCGTATGCGGGCACGCCTGACTGGCACACCTGTGCTTGCTCGTGATAGTCACAGGCACAGCCGATGCGCCCGCTGCTTAGCAGTTTACTTACTTTAGCCATTGATCTCTATGGATTCGAACTACGATATCTTATACTAAACAATATACATTGCCTTTCTAACATTGTCTCCTGTGTATTTAATGAATAAATAATGATTATTTCCAAAACACCTCTGATCCATTTCTTCAGTCTTTGAATGAACAGCATTCAGTAACCATCTCTCTTATAGTTTCTTCTTTTCGATAGTTTCGAGCTGTATCTTAGTGCACATATATCACACCCGTTTATATTTGTAATTAATTTGGATTATTATAATAAATATTAATTCTTGTACGAGAAGTAATGTGTATTATATTCCTATTTTGCTCTTCCCATTCTCTGTTTTGCTAAAAGTACTTTGTATACCACTAACAATACAAGAAACGTGATACAATAGCTTGACTATGAATTTATGCAAAAAAAATGTATGATCATTTTTAGCCGGTAAATAAGAAAAAAAAACTGTGCATTAGGGGTTAATAATCCCCTCAATTGGTGAAATAAATTTTTCTCTATTCCCATTTTATTAAATACTCTATAAAAATGGGGATTTGCATAATGATCCACAGTCTAGTAATTAAATATGTGGTAGTGGAGCAGTACAAATTATATCATTATATTAATAAAATAATATCTAATTCTGTTTAAAAAAACTTCACGGTTTCAGTAATTATTTATAATTGTAGACTGATAAAGTTTATGAAAGTTATAATTTTATTATAACTTTTTATGAGGTGGAATTTTAAATAGAAAATTTCATTAGACATTTACAATTAAACAAATCTGTGCTGAATGTAAATAACACAAAGACGATGTTTGTATATCAAATACAAATATATTTGCATTAGCAAGTATTACTTACCATGTATAGTTATCTCAGTGTCCTTTTCCAGTTCATAAAGGCGCAATGCTTCATCCAATTCTTGTTGAGAAGCAATCCTGCATGGATCTCCTTCATCGTCAACCCACTTCATTGTGAACTGATCTTGTCCTGTTGCACCAAAACCACATATTGTACGCATTTCCTCCCGCAGTGTGTCTACCGAAATTCCAGGAGTAATATATGTAATCTGCACTTCCCTGGTATAAAACAAATCATTATACTCTTTTTCCATGTATAAAAATGACTAATATTTTGCAAACAAGAAAAAAGGAATTAGACTTTACAGAAAGCAACCTGAATAACATAAAACTTATGTTACTTCAATATGTTGAAATGTATCTATGAAGAAATACTGTTTGTACACAGAATGTATAAACTGTAAGCAAACAGAAATGATGTATTTTATAAATAAGTATTTACTTTAGATAATAGATTGTATATGTTTCAACTCATAGGAAATTATAAAGAAATACTTATGTAGGTGATATATGTAAATCCACATTTTCTTTCTTACATTTATTACTTCTATTTTTCTGATTATTGTTTTCATATAAAGTACATACTATTACAAACAGATTATATATGTATATTACCCATTATAAACAATTTTCACTCGAATGTCATCATTCTCTGTCGTCTGTGTAGGCATTTTAAAAATGTTTACAGCCCTCTTGTTGCTGAAAAATAAGAAAAATTTAAAATTATTATTACTATAGAGTTAAACTTTCAATTATTAAATTATAATGTATTTAAATTAAATAAAAAAATATCACTGACAGATCAAACAATTTTTGCAACTAAAGTTTCTTAACAGAATGGGAAGTATGTAGACAAAACTACTATTTGTAATAATAAGAATTCTTAGAGGTCTAATAATTAAAACTATTTAAATAAGTTAACGAAGTTGTCACGATCGACACAAATCGGATGTGATTATCCTCGTTTAAGGAAAAACATATCGTGACGCTCTGTTTGGTTGCATTAACAATAGGTTAAACAAATCATCCCCTGTCAATTCAATAATCTATCAAATCTATACCGTTATAAATAATTATTATACTTAAAAATTTAGTCCAATTTGTAACTATCTTAACTTTGTTGTATGTATATAATTTCTGACTCACCGAACTTTTTTAAAAAATGATCTAACTGATGAGTTAGATGAAATATTCTTGATGTATGTTTCTGACAGAAGAAAATATCGTCGTTTTAAAACTACTATATAGAAATAGGGATATAATAAACACAAAATTGAAAAGTACTTAACACAGCAAAACGCGTTGTCACTTGGCAGCCGCCATGTTTATTAGACACACATTTTCTTTATTAGATATTCTTCACAGTATGACGCATACCTAGTTACATATTATTCGTAGATGAAATATTAATGAAATCGAATTCAATTACTAATATGTTAGTATAATTTACATAACTATAATTATAGAAAATAAAGACGTAAATTTATCACGCTTTATATGTTATCCACAGTAATACATGTACCATTGTCACTATAGCTTTGGATATATAATATCACAGCCGATTCTAGTACTAGCCATGCTGAAGGCAAAAATGGCAACAACGCGAGAGTCCGGCTTCAATATACCCAACCCAACCTACCATATCAGCCTCCCAGGCCTCTCGCAGCGAGTCTCGCTTTCACCAACCTCCCGGCGACTCAGTCTCCCTCTACGGGCCTCTCAGTTTCCCGCCTATCCTTCAAATGTTTAGATTATTATAATCCTCCGAATGTAAGAAACAGTACAATAATCCAGGTAAATTTTATTTATTTATATTAACTCTATATATCATTCGTTTGTGTACAGCACATTTATTTAATAAAATCTATAGCCTTTTTGAAAATTTTGTTTTACATATATTTTTGTTTATAATTTTCATATGTTTATTAATAATGTCACGGCGTTACTGTGTTCCCAATTGTAAGGGAAATTATGGTAGTACTTTAAAAGATAGTAATTATATATCTGTATTTGTATTTCTCGTAAAAATTGGACACCAATAAAATATTATAGATTAATTATTATCAAAAAGTTTATTCACAGAACTTGTTCAGTATGGAGAGGGCTATTACTTAGCAGTATCAAGTTTTTCGTAGGTGGAGTATCTTCTAAGTTTCCAAAGTTAATTGTTATTTTTATTAATCATATAGAAATATTATGGAATAAAATACTTTTATTACAAAAATCGATTCTTCCAAACATTCTGCGTAATAAAGTATTAAGGTATTATGTGAAAAAGGTAATAATTCGTGACATATTTCGCACTCATGACTCATTTTTTAGCATCTGTTACCCATTACGTGTGATCCGCGAGACAAGAAGCAATCAAATTGCCACCAATATTCACGATCTCATACAGTAGTCACCAGTCATTCATTGTCTTGTCTATTATAAATCGTTCGAAATTCAAACGTGTCCCGGATTTCCGGCACTCGTTTTAGTACTGGCTCTTATCACCTCTGGCGGTGCAAATCAACCAAGAAAAACCTATGAGATGTACCCCCATAGAGTGACGTGACAAGGTTATTTTACATTGAAAGTTAAACAAACATTTTGTTAGAATATTAATACGTTTAACATTCAAGGTAAAAAGAGTTATTTAATTTCTGATTATATTAAATTAAAATTTAATATACAGTAGGGATTGAACTTTATACATTGTTTCCGAAACAAAGTACAGGTTATAAAGCTGTTGATTATACTAATAGAAGTATATTACTATTGTTACTACTAATTGTTTATGAATTTCAGTGTCAATATGAAGAGATCTCATTCTAAAAGGAGTAGGGACGACCATGAACATCATAGGCATCGTTCACGAGACCGTCATTACCACAGTGATAGGAGTAGTAGAAAACATGATCATTACAGAAGAAACTATGATTCTGAAGAGCCATATACAGAGGAACGTCCTTATGGACGACACGATATGAAAAGATCAAGGGATTATGAGAAAGAAAATAGAAGAAAAGAAGAAAAAGATAAATTAGCAGACAAAAACATGGAAAAAAGACAAGAAAAGAATGCCCCTGACAAGATAACAGAAAGACAAAATCGGACAGTGGAGTTACTAACATCAAGAACTGGTGGTGCATATATTCCACCTGCAAAATTACGTATGATGCAAGCAGAAATTACTGATAAGTCAGGAGCTGCATATCAACGTATTGCATGGGAAGCTTTAAAGAAGTCTATTCATGGTTACATCAACAAAGTTAATGTTAGTAATATAGGACTTATAACTCGCGAACTTTTGAAAGAAAATATTGTCAGAGGTAGAGGTCTGCTTGCACGATCTATAATTCAAGCTCAAGCTGCGTCTCCAACCTTCACTGCTGTTTATGCAGCCCTTACTGCAATTATCAATTCTAAATTCCCTAATATCGGAGAATTAATCTTAAAACGTCTTGTCATACAATTCAAGCGTGGTTTCAGAAGAAATGATAAACCACTTTGTATTTCATCAGGAACATTTGTAGCACATTTAGTGAATCAAAGAGTAGCTCACGAAATATTAGCTTTAGAAATTTTGACATTATTGGTAGAAACACCAACGGACGATTCTATTGAAGTTGCCATTGCATTTTTAAAAGAATGTGGTATGAAACTGACTGAAGTTACTAGGAAGGGTATTGAAGCTATATTCGAGATGTTAAGGAACATATTACATGAAGGACAATTAGATAAAAGAGTTCAGTATATGATCGAAGTCATGTTCCAAGTTCGAAAAGATGGATTTAAAGATCATGAAGCAGTTCCAGAAGACCTTGACCTGGTTGAAGAAGAAAATCAATTTACTCATCTAGTGACATTAGACGAAGCAACTGATTCTCAGGACATATTAAATGTATTCAAGTTTGATGCAGAATATGTAATTAACGAAGACAAATATAAACAGTTAAGTAAAGAAATATTAGGTTCAGATGTTAGTGGCTCAGAAAGTGAAGAAGGTGACGAGGAAGAAAGTTCAGACGAAGATAGTAGCACTGCTGTGACAGAAGGAAAAGAAGATGTAATTGTAGATAACACAGAAACAAATTTAACAGCACTTAGAAGAACAATATATTTAACAATTCATTCGTCCCTTGACTTTGAGGAATGTGCACACAAATTGATGAAAATGCAACTAAAGCCTGGACAGGAAACCGAACTGTGCCACATGTTTTTAGATTGTTGTGCAGAAATGAGAACATATGAGAAATTTTTTGGTCTGTTAGCTGGCCGATTTTGTGCCATTAATAAAATGTATGTTACACCATTTGAACAAATTTTTCGAGATTCGTATGACACAATACATCGTTTAGATACAAATAAGTTGCGTAATGTATCAAAGTTTTTTGCTCACTTATTATTTACTGACTCTATTTCATGGGAGGTATTATCCTGTATAAAATTAACTGAAGAAGACACAACAAGTTCAAATAGGATATTTATCAAAATCTTATTCCAAGAACTTTCAGAGTACATGGGACTGTCTAAGCTTAATCAACGTGTTAAAGATGTTACATTACAGGAAGCATTTGAAGGATTATTTCCCAGAGACGATCCAAAAAATACACGCTTTGCTATAAACTTCTTTACATCAATTGGTTTAGGTGGACTTACAGATGATTTAAGAGAACACTTAAAATCTCATCCCAAGCCAACAGTAGTACCTGTAATAGAAGAAAAAAATGAAAGTGCCTCTAATCAATCCTCTCCTTCTAGTTCAAGTACATCATCTTCATCATCTTCATCTTCTTCATCCAATAGTTCAAGTTCAGATGATTCTGATTTCTCCTCAGAAGAAGAAGTAACTAAAAAGAAGAAAAAGTTGAAAAAAGAAAGAAAAAAACAGATTGCAAAAGAGACCAAGAAAAAACATAAAAAGAAGGAAAAAAGAAAGATGAAAAAAGTTAAGTAGAATTTGTATACGACCATTTTCTTTTTTTCCTTTCTTTATTGGCGTTACTCTTTGCTAAATAATACATTTGAAAAATATGTATGCAGATATATTGTAAATTAAACCATTTGTATACTTTATGATACAAATGTGTATACATTATTTATAATAATGTAAGATCCTTAAGATATTTTTAATTTTGAACAAATATATTTTCACCATCAATTGTTTAAATGTTTGAATTATTACCACATATATTTTGTTCATATTATCATTTGCAAACAGTGTGAAAAGGTACATGCAAAGACAAAAAGGATTATTTATTTCAACAACTTAATTTTCCGTCAGTTATCATCTTTGATCAAATATATCAAAATAAGTATGATATTGTAGTTAAGTATGAATTTATAAATTAATACCTCCTCGGTAACTCTGTAAGATATCGTGATATTTTCAAGTGTTAAGATTAAAATAGCATTTTTGAAAGAAAAATAAAAAGTTTTCGTTTACATAAAGAAAGTCAAAATATGTCGTCACTGCCACAATGATACCCTACATGCATGCATGCATGATGCGTCAGGCTTGCCCTGACAATGAACGCGAAATAGATGCATTTCTATTGATATAGGTGTAGAGAATGTAGGTTATTTTGACTAGGAGATCACGTGATTGAGTACACTATTTTCTTCGTTATAAACTTGCAATTCGCTACTGGTGGTAAGCTTACAAGAAGGTGGTTGCCGGTGATGGCTTGTTTTTGTTTCACGAGAGATAACAGTGAAAGAAAATGAGATCAGGGGAGAGGGAACGAAAGTGAGAAAGAAACAATCCGAGGTTGTCCACAATAGGTAGGAAATAAAATACTGCTTTAAATTTTTCACACAAAGTAAAAAACGATTTTCATTTGAACAAGTTTTTAGTATTCTTTAAAGCACATGAAATAATTACGCGTATGTATTTAAACCGGTCATACTATATATAAATAAACCAAAATAGTACATATAGTGACAAGTTTATAGCGTAGAGTACATATCGAGCTTATAACGAGAATATACTGTGCTCAGCCGTCACCACCATACCACCACCAGCACCAGCACCAGCAGTGCTGTCGTCGTCCGACCGGGCCGTACACCATGCCACGATCCGTAGATAGGTACGCAGCTCAACCATTTCACATCTTTCGGAAGCAAGCGCGGCTACGCGAGATCTGTAACGTGCATGTACGCATCATGTATATATGCGTGTGTGTGTGTGCATCACCACACTGGTTGATAGATACGAGAATACGATAGAGGCAAAGCTGGTAAAGTAGTATACGTAGTATACAGAGGAGCACGGTAGGAGGCCAGCCGTAATGTTGGCTCGGTGGACGAAGCGGTGTTGAAAAGGGGTATAGTGAACTTCGATCGACGACGTGATACTTGTGAAGGAAATCGAAGACGCGTAGAATTTACGGTAATTCTATGCCATCTGAGCCAGAGACATGAGTACGCGAGATGGTTCCACGCATACATGTACAGATATAAAATTGTCTGTAATTAAGAGTATAACGCTCCGCGCGTTCACAAAAATACACAATAATATGCGGCCTCTTTAAGGGCCCTGCGGTATCTCCTTGTGTTTATATGTTCGCGCAACCGTAGTGTACGTGTAAGTGCGTGCAAAAAAAAAGTAAGGTGAAATATTTATACCAGAAAAAAACACTGGAGGAGGGAGCGGAAGGAGGGCGGGAAGGAAGGGAACATACACGCATGCAATCAACGAAACGTCTTGCCATGAGAACGCACTAGTGTTTGGTTGTGCTAATATTACATATCAACGTTCGATGACCGAATTGTGGACAGTTTATTCGGTCCTAAGTTGTTTGTGACTGACAGCGTGAGACGCGATCAAAAATATGCGTATCTTTTTTAGTGGCTCTTCTTTTCGGAGTCCGTACGCGATCGATACGTCACTTGGTCGCGACGTGCTAAGTCAATCCGTTGTCCGACGATGCCATTCATGATGATGATAATATTCATCAGTCGAACGTATCATCGGTCTCGTGATTATTCTAGTAAATAGTATAACTAGATATTTATTTGTCCCCTCGACATCGTCGTAAAGAACAACAGTGGTGTCGGTGGTGTCGGGTGGTAGTGACAGTGACGACGACGACGGCGACGGTGGCGGTGACTGTGACTGCGGCGGCAGCGACAGTGGTGTAGAAATAGCTGTGGCGGTGGCGGTGGCGGTGGCGGTGGCGGTCGAATGGCGGTCGCGGTGGCGATCGTGATAGCGACGGTAGCGACGGTAGTAACGATAATATCGAAACCAGCAACGATAGAAACGACGACAGTGATAACGAAGATCGGGAAACAATGGACATGCTTGGAACCGGAGGAATGTCTTGTGTCGAAATAAAATGATAGACGGAAAAATATGCAAAGCAAATCAGCGAAAAGTAAAAAGAGAAGAACTAATTGCGAATAGTGAAGGAGAATTCGTGAGCGAGAACAGAGTGGATAAATGTGAAAATTAAAAGGAATAAAACGGTCTGGACTGTAGGCTCGTTTACAGTGGCGGGTACATCGGTTTCTTTTTTTTTTAAGTATATCTGTATATACACACTCGTTCTGCAAGTACGAATTATCATGTGCATGGAAGCGACGTTGCGATGGACAATAGACTGCGGATAATAGATAGCCGGATCTTTGTGTTGAACATAATATTACGGCAAGGGGAGTCTGAGATGAACACTTGGTATCGTTACTTGCTGGTGCTATTTCCCCCCCGAGATCACAATGTGAACTAAATGAATGACATGCGAGTGTCGAATTAAGTAGTGCAAAGTGAACGCGTGTAGGTTTTGTATACTGTAGGTGTAAATACGCCTATGTTACGAATCGTACGAAAGAGCGTGGTATGTCACAAGCTGTCTCGAAGATTTCATGTAACGATCGAGCTAGCTGTCTTGTTGAGTCTTTACACGTTAGAAACGAATAATGGAGACGTTATTGCCCGGCAATACAAACAGTCAGTCATACAGTCCGCAATTAAAGACCGTCTTAAAGACATATCAGCTATCTGCTGTGAAAAGCTTACAGGGACCGAGCTCGGCCCTGCTTGGTATGGACTGCAAGAGCCTATTACAAGACCAAGCACCTTGTTACTCCCCTTCAACCCGATCGAATAATTGTGTCATTGATTCAGCATCGGAGCAGGTCTCCACGAAAGATATTGAAAAAGATCATAACTCTTCGGTCACACCTATAGTACCGTGTAAAGTACGTAGGACAGACCAACCGCTCGATGACTCGGACGAGGATCCCCAATTAGAACGCTCAAAAAACGTTTGCGAAAAAAGGGAATTGGAATTTCAAATTCCGATATTAACTGCGCCCGATCAAAGTTGTTCTGAAAGATGCGAGACTATCTTAGAGGGTGAAAGAATATCCTGCTTTGTCGTTGGAGGCGAAAGGAGGTTATGTTTACCACAAATTTTGAACACAGTCCTGCAAGATTTCTCTCTTCAACAAATCAATCAAGTCTGCGATGAATTACAAATTTATTGCTCACGGTGTACACGAGATCAGTTAGAGGAACTTAAGCATTCGGGAATTTTGCCGCGTAATGCTCCTTCCTGTGGCCTTATTACTCAAACAGATGCTGAAAGGCTTGTCAGTGCTTTGCTTCTAAGGACAGAATCATGTGATCCCTCTCAAATCGGTCTGGATAATGCAGAAAAGAAAGTGTCTAATAAAAATGATAACAACGAAGAAGCCGTTGTCAAATTCAAAGTGTATCATGAGTGCTTTGGAAAATGTAAAGGCATTTTTGATGCAAATTTATTTGAGTCTGATGATTCAGTGTGTATAGAGTGTATCGAATGTGGCTGCCAATTTTCACCTCAACGTTTTGTCAGGCATGCTCATAGGTCTCTTGAAAATCGTACCTGTCATTGGGGCTTTGATTCTGCAAACTGGAGATCGTATCTATTACTTTCAAGGGAACAAGAAAATCATAGTAAATCACTCAATATATTTCGAGAATTAAAGGAAAAACATCTTACATTAGGCTCCAAACGAAAATTAGAGGTATTACACTTTGCATATTATTTCTTTATATTTCTATACATTGAAATGTGAATGGAAGGAGAAAATAAGAGAATCATTTTCCAGTTGCGGTACGAATCAGAAAAATTGGTTAAACGAATTAGAAGAGATGTAGGGAGAGATGAGTGTCCAGGAATATATAATGGGAATGGCTTAGGCTTATATCATCCTGTATCTCAGGTAGCTAATGCAACTGATCCATATCTGCAAATGCAATGGGCAGTTTTCGAACTAGCAGCTAGAGGGGCTTCTGCTTTTAGACCTTGGAATACTGCAAGTACTTGCAAGCACAAAGATAGGTGAGTATAGATTTAAGTGTATGCATTTAAAATAATAGAGCAACAAGTTTTCTAATAACTGTATGACTCTCTCTCTAAACAGCCCGTCATTGGTGCCTGCATATCTTAGCCGAGGTCCACCTGTACTACAACATCCAGAACGTGTGGTTCCTCTTTCTGAATGCAAACGTTTTGAACCACACTTTCAACCGAATGTAGCCTTAGCACCTATACCTGCACCATCAGTGCCTGTAGTACTTCCACCGTCTGCTCATCATCAGCGACGATATCATCATGAACATAAACATTACAATCATCACTTATCAAGCCCTAATGAGAAAAAAGAACCTCCATCGGACAGTATAAAACTTGAGAAAACATCTCCTAGTTCTGACTCTAATGTTGGCACATATTCTACATTCCCTTCGTACACACCTGAAAACAACCAGAAAGAATTGCCTCAGAAAACTAAGAATGAGGTTGGTGAAGAAGAAGAGAGTAGTGCTGCGGTAACATCTTCTACAGTAAACATAGAACCACCTTCGGGTGAGATTGGTACGACCGCGTTGGAAAGTGATTCTGATTCAGAAGGAACAACAACAATAGATTTAGAAGAAAGGCTGTTGGCTTTGGAAGTACCACAAGATGTTTTGGAGCTAGCGCGACGTATAGTTTCAGAGAATGCACAATTACGGCGTCATCGACGTTCAGATGCACGTGAAATATCTCGACTACGTAATCAGTTGCAAATGCATCAACAACTACAATCATCTAATGCTAGTGATAAGAAGGAGGAACCAGCGAATGCAAGCGCAGCAGATAGTACAGAAGGTAGCGAAGAAACGGAAGCTATATTACCTTCGAATAATAAAGAGTCTGAATCTGTTGTTCTAGCAGTTAGTAAAGAATAAAATCAGTGATTAGAATTTTTTAAATTATTTAATACAAAACTGCTCAGCAATTTTTTGCATCGCTTATCTTTTGGCCAGATAGGCGTGCATTAAATTTAGTATTAGCTCTACTAATGATGATAAAATTCTAAATGAATAAAAAACTGTTTAGGTTTATGTGATACATAGAGAGCCTTTAACACTGTAACATTTAATTTGAAATTTTTATTGTAATCATACTTCATTGTGTCGGTTTTTAATGAAAAATCGAATGTAGATATTGTAATATATGGAAATGCAACATAAGTTAACCAGAATTTACCATGCCATTTAATAGTTACACTTAAACGATCATTAAATAAGTTTTTCATGCATATTAAATATGCACACCACAAAGGTTTTTATGATCATTTGTTTAATTGTAAAATTAAACGGTGATCAGAAAATAAGAGATTAGATTGCTTTCCATTTACTTTTTATAGTCACAATTGCATAATGTAAATACATTCAAGTATCATAGGTATATGTTTATATTAATGACATTATCATGCAAAATATTGCTAAAGTACAAAAAACCTTTAGGTGCTATATTGTTACATTAGGAATGTTCTAAGCATAAATCTAGGTGTATTTCAGCAGTTCGTACTATACCATAATATTAAACACCTTGATTATGTTTTATTTTTATTATACTTATGGCGTCGAAGGCAAATTAAATTTTATTTCCCGCTAATGAACTCAATTTTGAATGATTATTTGCACATAAAATAAATTAACTATTTAAATATTTGAAAATATTGAGTGATATTACAGGGAATCGTGAAAATTTAACTTATATAAAAAAATTACTAATTTTTTTGTATGTTGAATAATTCCTACATTATTTTATGACAGACAACTAATTCCAATTTCTTGAAATTAGATTTATTGTACTGTGAAAAGATGAGTTAAGAATGGAATGAATGTTATTTTATTAAAGACGCGCGGCATCGCGATATGTGTACTCTTGTTTTCTGTTTCTTTTTTTGCAATATTGTATAATATCCCCAAGTAATAACTGTCTTATTAATGATTTTTATTTTTTAGCCCAAATTGCCATAGTAAGTGGTCACACAGAATTATTTTACTTTTTGGTATTGATATTTATTTGAGACATTGTATTTACATATCATTTTAGTTGTATTTGAAATTCGGAAAATATTCAACCCTATGGGTCATGAAATTTTAAATGTGATTTATTGAAAATATTTTTACGTGATTGGGTATTAAGTTTTATGATAATCATGTAATTAATACTTCTAGGGGATTCTGGAGCAAAATTATAAACATAATTTTGCCTTTTACCGAGTACTACTTCTTTCTGCTCATTATTATGGTGTGTACATGCAATAATAGAAAAAATACATTTTTTGAAATATTTATGAAAAGCAACACTGATTTAGAGATATACCTAGATACACATTAGACATTTAAGAGTAAGACAACACGAGTACGGAAATACAAAGATATATATAAATATTTATCTAATGTATATTTATATTTGTATATATCTTGGACATACATTTTTTAACATTGATTTTGTTTTGTAGTTTCATGTATTCCTTTATTTTGTTAAATTTTTTTGTCATTGTTCTACTCGTTTTATCTTTCAATATGTGAAATTAGTTTAATTTAAACATGAATTCCTGCTACTTCAGTGCAACCTTTGAAAAAGTGTATGAAGTCATGATATCATTTTTGGAAAGATAATTAAAAATTCCAAGTGCGTAAAGTATTTGAAACATTCAAAGTATATTGGAAATGTTGTTTTATAAGCTTCAAAAGCTTTTTCTATCGGATACATACTAGAAATATGATATAAATCTTACACATATTTACATACTATAGTGAAACCAGTTAGTTATTATACATTTGTGTATTTGAAATATACATATACATATATTTCGAGACTGCTTCGAAGATCTCTTATCATATACATTTTTCTAACATAACAAGAGTGCCAGTAATTCTTGTATCGCATCAAAGCACAAGGCATAAGAAATTTCCATTTTCAATTTATTATTATTCGCAACATTCGCTTTTTAAATAAAGCAAATGATAAATTTTCAAAGCAATGTGTTAAAAGAGGAAATTGAAGGTGTATAATATAACTGAATTACATAGGATAAATGCATTCATTATTATACTTCGTATAACATTTGGTCAATACATATGACATATATACGTTACATCATATTGTTGTAATAATATTATAAGCATCCCACCTAAGGTTAAGAATGTAATAATTTATGATTTTCATACACTCTCAGTTTATCATAGATCCTATATAGAGTATGATCGTAAAATAGTACATGTATGGATTGCATACAGCTCGGTTTTCAATATATTCGAGATCTGCATATGAAGTTTCAATGAATCATGTAACTGCCATGACTAAAGATGTATTTTAATTTTGAATGGGTGATGTATTGAGTTCAAATGAAAAATTACAAATAAATACATAATATGCGACGTCTAGACTTTATTAACATTTATGCACGATACGTTACGTCTTGATGTGGATTTCGCTCGTTCGAATAAATAACAATTCGCCAATCGGTTTTCACTTGATTAAGGTAATTTATAAAAAACGAAAAAACAATGTTATCGAGTGTTTCATAAATAAGGAAAATCGTTATTGTTGTAATATATTTATTTGAACTTCGAGAGGAAAGAGTCGTGAGAGAAGTAGCTAATCAATTATAAACGAACGTTCGACGCGCATTCGATATGCGTATAATTAACACATTAATATTTAAAAACTCGTTCGATTTTCATTTCAAATAGTAGGCTATAATAGGTTTCTTTGTTCGTGTTGCAAGTAGAAGTACGAAATACTAATCGAACGAGTTTCGTGTTCTTGTTTTCTTTGTCGCGTTCATGGATCGGGATTCAAGAAAATAAACTATTGAACGAAAGATAAGTCATTCGTTGCGCAACAAAGGATCGTTCGATGCAAAGTGTTTCCTATAATTAGGTGATTTCAATACGTTGCTTCGCGTATAAATTTAGGAATAATTATTAGCGTGTCTAGTAGTCTCGATAAAGTTGTACGCGTAATAGACCTTCTTCCAAGCACGACATCGAGGCCATTATTTAAATTATTATAAATTATGATGCGTAAACATTATTGTAAATGCGTCGATCAGATATGTTATAAACAATTTACCGGGGACGTGGTACTGTACGTTTTCTATCAGTAAAGTGTGTCTAGAGTCAGAGGTTCATGTCCTCTCAAGTGTATTATCAATAGTTTATTTTCTTAATCGCAAACACATTTATCCCATGATTAATGGCATAATAGATTTAGAATAAATGTGTTTCATAATAACATAGAAATATTTTTAAGAAATTAAGCGTGTCATTAATATATAAAACAAATGCAATATGAAAGTACAAAATTTAACCATTCATTTGAATTTTGTATATTTTACAAAAAGAAAAGAATATATGGACAGCTCCTCCGATATTCTAAATTCTAGCTATAAGAATTTCGAAAATGTTTTACCATCACAATCTTAAGAACTTGTAAGACCATGTCCCTGATAACGTACTTATAATAGCGTTGAAATTTTGAATATCCTCCAATGGTGGATAAAAAAAGCGGTTTAGAACGATTTAACAATATACAACTTTCTAATCGCTTGACGTTATTCTGAATTTTGTATGATCGAATATTTATGTTCGAACGACGAATTCCATATTATTATGGATCGATATATATATAACAATGGATATTAAGTAGTTCCAGTAGCGGTCTGATTGATCTTTGGTATAACTGTAGAGTAAATGTACATATAATTATTTTCCAAAAGAAATACTCATTGTTAAATGTATATTACGGAAACTGTTATAGATAAGGCTATTATCGTCATTTATATTAATTGAGATAATAAACGACATTTCGATTAAATAAGATTTCTCCATGTTATTGCATCAATTTTAAATATTAATGTATATTTAAAGCGAAATATTTTTTGTAAACTGTGTATATGAGCCATTATTTTTTTTTTTATTTCCGTTTCTATATATATATATATATATACTTTCGCCGAATAAAAATGCGGCACCGTTTCCTAAATATCTTCTGTACATAAATTTCTGAAACTCAAGTATAAGATATGATATGATATTTACGTGACAATATTTAAAATTACGTTATTAACTACTATTACAGAACTAATCCTTTTTTGGATCAGAATTTTAAATAAGTACTGTCTAATTTGGATAATATCTCTTAAGATTTCGAAAATATATAGCTGTGTCACATTATTAATAAATTCAAAAAAGAATAGGTTTTGCTTGAAGGAAAAAAGAATAGAATCAAGCATTTAACGGTGTAATTGTATAATTTTATACGATATATCCTTATACACACGCATCGCACGAAATATATCTACCTGCATTAAATTCATGTATCGCTGAAGCGCCGTCTACCTGTTGCATTCACGACTATACGTGACTGAATTCCAGTTTCATCCAAAATCGTTTAGAGGAGAACGAAAGACTAATTAGGTTTCTGATTCGAGACTTTACCGTTATACTTCTATTTAAATAGCATATTTGTATCTTCGGATGTAAAATACCTTGCATATTTACTTGAACTTTATTTATTATACATAAAAGACTCGTATAACATTTACTGGCATGATTAATATGTATACTTCTGTTATGTTGTGTCTGGCCTCAGTGATATTTTGACATCTAACGATTCATGTTTTGGAAGTGTGATTTCGAGGAAACTTTAAGATAACACAATGGCTTTTTTATGCCCAGTGCGTATTCGTCGAGGAAAGAAAAAGAAACGTGAGTAAAAAATCATCACAGTACGCCTCGAAAAAAACCATTATTATAACAACTTATACTGTCCTGTATGCATCATTCTTTCGTAACAGTACATACTCAACATTGAACGACTCATATTCTTATTATTATATGTAGAAATAAGATACAAATTTGAAAGTATAAACGAAACACATAAATTACGTGCAGAATGATATATTCAAAACAGGTCATTCGTATAACTTTCATGTATTGAAGGAAGAAATGTTAAATTAAAGGTGTCCATCGCGAAGTGATAATTTTTTATTTGTAGGTGAAAGTTCTCAAAATATTTTGAGGCTAAAATTATATTTTTTAATGAAATGCCACACTTTTATATTTATCCTGCAGTAGTAAACTATTGAAACACTTCTTCCTGCTTCTGAAAACTTGACATGTTCTCTTTTAAGTTATTCATCTCATATGAAGACATCAAGATGTGTGTCACGCATATGTATTTCATATAAATAAGAATACAAGTAATGCAACTATGTAACTTAAAACATTTTTAACAATATAGCTGGAGTACATAACTTCAATTTGGAAAAAGATTGCGTTGGAGGAGGAGGTACAGGATTGGGCTTAGGAACCAAAGTTCCATTGCCACCTGGTCGTATAACAGGAAGTGCTAGTATTGAAACTTTAGTTAGAGTAGGTATTGAAAAAGAAAATGGACTTTCGCCAGACAGTAAAATGGTTATTGTTCATGACTTCACACCTTGCGTCGATGATGAACTTCAAGTAAAACGAGGCCAGGTCAGTAGCTTTTTATTTTATATTATATTAAGAATATGTAAATAACCCTTTGTATGTTTCTCTTCATTGTACTTTTCTATATTTGCTTTATATTTCATAAAGTATTATGTTTAATTTTATTCTGTTTAATGTCGAATGTAAAATGCATTTTTTGAAGGTGTTGTTTTGTTTATTTTCTGCATGTTCTAGGTTGTAAATGTATTATATAGAGAGAATGATTGGGTGTATGTAATAGCAGCTGATACACGTATGGAAGGCTTTGTACCACATTCGTATTGTGCACCTTACACATCACAGCTTGCTGAATTAACACTTGCTACTCTTATGAACAATGTGAAAAAGAAACTGCCAAGGTCTAGCGAGACTGATTGTGATTTTGCTGGTACAGGTCGTTCCCAAACAGTAGATGCACAACAAACTGACACAGGATCTGCATCAGACTGTGAAAGTTATGCTCGTAATATAACTACTGCTGATGTAAATGTTAACAGATCTAATATTACACAGTCTCAAAATTCTATTCAAACTATATCTTCTCAGCCAGATGTTCACCCTTTCTTTAAGGTATATATACAGATATTCTACTCTTGCATTTAAAATATAAATTAATTCAAGAGCTGAACATACATGTATATATTATAGGATCCATCAGCTGGAAGATATATTGTACTTTACACTTTTGTGGCTAGAGATGAAAATGATGTTAGTGTGGAAAGGGGAGAATTTGTAACAGTTCTCAATCGAGACGATCCTGACTGGTTCTGGGTACTTAGACACTGTGATGGTAATGAAGGATTTGTGCCATCCGGATTTGTATACCCTGGACATGTTCTTCATTCTTATGCGACAACAACTACTACTACTACCACTACTACTACCGCCGCTACAACATCCGCAGAAACACATAGTTTAGGTAAATTTGTTTTTTTCTGAATTAAATATTATTTATAATTTTTTTGAAAATTACTTATTTGAATTGAAAGAATTGATGCAAGCAATATTTTAATTTATAGGAAAAGGCGGTAATGTTATGCCAGGAAATGAATCATTACAACAAAAAGGTTTGCGAGATTTTCGAGACGAAACCAATGGAACAGAATTAGTTGTACTTTATGATTATAAGGCGCAGGCGCCAGATGATTTATCAGTAAGAAGAGCTGACTGGATTTATGCAGATTTGGGAAACCAAACGGTAGATGGTTGGTTGTGGGCATATGCACCCAAGACTCGGAAATATGGTTTCATTCCAAAGGCATATGCCCGCCCTCCTGCTATGACGAGTTTATGATACACACTATAATCTTGTGTATCTTGCATTTTATGCATATATTCAATTAAAAAGTACTTTTATATAATACTGCATTTTAAACAATACTCAGACACGTGGATATACGAGAGTTATCTCTTGGTAAGTATATTTACTAATACTAGTAATGGAAATTTTAATAGTTTTATGTTTTACTATAACCTATATATTTTTATAATATATTTAATGTACAGTAACATTAACATTGAGCGTAGCACAATCAGATGTAATGTGACTAAGGAGACCTTCGTGCAGGACTATACAATCACCTGTTGAAAAAATATCTTGTGGACATTGGGCTGTTCTTAATGAATTCACTGGACCTGTGTATGTCAAGGAACGTAAACCTTCACTATCAAACTTATCCACAGCCTGTTGTGGAAATAGCCCGTTTTTAATATATGCATATTATATATCATGTATATAGATATAATCACTCGTCTAATTGAATATTTTTAACGAATATACCTGAATACTACACAAAAGTTTGTCTGCAGTGTTTCCAATATCTATTCCAGCAACCCAGGCAATAATTATGTTTTTCTTGTGGTAATCTTTTTTGTTATTAATTTTGTTACATTGTAATCGAGCAGCTAGTACTGGTAATGGTAAACGATTCCGAAACTTCGGATTAATTTGACTACCGTTAAATAGTCTTGCAACAGGATCTCTTATTATGAAGATACGTTTAGGAAATATACAAAATACTAAATTGTACCACGTATTAATAATACTATAACCTATACTCACGAAAGTTTACCAGAAACTAAAAGAAGGGCAAGACATCTACTAGAATCCAAAGATAAAGCATTAAAACTGACGATGAGTGTACTTTTGATGCCTGGTTCCACATTCAAAATCGGTACTTCTGGATGATCAAAAATAAAATGATGCGTTAACGCTGAGAAAGCTACATTTATGGCGCAGTCGATACGTGGACATCGGATCGGTCTGCGAGAACATTCTGCAGTAATTTGTCCATTGACTCTAGCTTCTGTCATATATAAATCTGTATTTCCTCTTTTATATAGATTACAGCAACTATATTGTTGCCTCTGTTTACTGTCATCTTTTCCTCTTTCTTCATGAATATTGTTCTGATCTTTAATTCGCTCATAATCAGTGCTTTCTTCAGAGTCATCTGCATTGTAATACCCCCACATGTTCCTTTCTGTATTCGTTACAGCTGTTGAATAATTTTGTTTCCAATTCTTCACATTCGACTGCTCTGATTGATGATGCTTGACATAGTACTCTGGCTGTTGCCGTGGAATATGCATTCTTCTTGGATGAATATATATGGAATTTAAACTGGTATTGCTTTCTTGAGGTATACTTAAATTTGACTGTTGAAATTGCTCATGACAGAGAATACAACCTGGATCTGTAACATGCAATTATAATCTAAAACTTCCAGGTCTTGTATAAATCCACTTAGCGTTTTTAGTTACTTAAACTTCTGTATACATATATTACGTTAAAAATAATGTCCATAAAAGAAAGAAATATATAATTGTAATATCCATAGGAATATATAATTGCAAAAATCTACTTTAAACAACCTGATGGAATAGAGAATTGTTCAATACAACGTTGACACAAAATATGCTCTTCGCAACAAGGAACATTTTGATTAAAAGCAGAGTTTATGTTTCCAACAGCAAGATGACAAATAGCACAGAGTCCAAACATTGTATTTAACTGCGGTGAATATATTCCTTCGTCATCTTTTTTCTCATTTCTTTTCTTTTCTTCATCAGTCATTTTAATTCGAAAATGTTTTTCCTCATGCATCCTTCTTTCATCTTTTGATTCTTTTGGTTCTACAGGCTGAAAGAATTCTATGAAGCTATTGTTACATACATCTAAATTATTCTCTGCGATTCCTCGTCTAATTTTATTTAGATAACTACTTAAAGTACGAAATGTTATATATTAATTGTTTAGAGCTTATTCAATACTGAATCTCGTGTCGCTCGAATACTCAATCACATGCCTCGTTCTGATTCTTTATCGGACTGCAGTACGCTTTGTTAACTCGATAATTTTCTTTTTCCATTTCGGTTTGTTGATTCCCGGGTCAGCTATTATATCTCTTTAAACGATAACCTTCTGCAATCGTCTACCGTGTTTCATTAAAATACGTTATTCGTGCTGCGAAATGTAATACTTTTACTTCAGTTATTATTATTATAAATTCAAACAATTTTAATGAAGACTGCGAATACACATCTATAATACGATACTTGATAAGTTTTTCCATTTTTTAAAATCACTTTTTGAAAGAAACTTTTAAGAAACGATGTTTCATGAAAATAAAGAAGATATATGCTATATAGTTTATTTACTTGTAGGAAGGAAAATTGAGAAAAATTATTTTGTTTAAAAACATTTAATATGAAATTGTAATGTCATGATATTGACAATGACAAATGGATTTATCAATGTACTACACGAATAGGTACAAAGATTGGAAACATTACCAAATATAACATCAATATCAGCTGGTCACAAATTATTTTTGTCAAAATTTTTTGAATTTCCGGGATTCCAGTAGTTTTCTGAATAATTTGCAGAGTAATGCTTCAAACAATATTACTCAGTAAGTAGCTATTACAAATGTAATTAAACTGTCCTGATAATGATCATTAATGAGAATTCTTATATTTTCGGTTCGCTATAATTTATTTAACAATGTTTTTCGTTCATCAACGGGATAAACTTTGATACGTACGATTTGTCATCTACATTTGAGGAACCATTTTGACATCTATCTTTTTGTCACTTTCTGATACCTTCAAACATTTGAGAACTTTTTATTTATACACTTTATAACTTTGTTCATTTCGTTGTCCAAACTCAAACTTTAAGTTTGTATTCCTGCTTTCATAAATTTACAAAGTGAACAATTTAATAATTCTGAGAAATCTCCATAGTAAATGCGAGTGCTTATTAATGTACTCTTATATTGAATTAATAAAATCATAACATAATATCCAAAAATTACTTGACCGTAAAAAAATTCCAAAAAGTTCATAAATCGCTGCAACAAACAGACCAATCTTTTGTATTACTACCTAACTAAATTATAATACAGAAGCATTACATAGAAAATACGTATTAGTACAAATCACTTGTTAACGCAACATTTCAGTAATACAATGTCGATGTAAGAAGCTCTAAAAATGTAGTAGGCCTCGCTAAAGTATAATTATATTTTATACGCAAGTATATACAATCAAAACACGCGATTGGCAAGAACTAGAGTCAACAAAATACATTAGAAATAAACAATAATGCTTTGATGCAACTTTGTAATATGCAAAGTTGACATTTATGCAGCTTTTGGCATCACTCTTTTATTTCCAGAATATCATCTCACAAAATATCTTGTAGTATGCAATACATTTACAAAATTGTGCAATATAAATTGTAGAATTGATCATACACGAATTGTTCGAAAATCATGAACGTAACTGAACCTAATAAAAAAAATTCTAAATATGCAACATGTTTATAACGTGATTGCCGAACATTTATATTGTATTATTGGTTTATTGTATGTTTTTAATGTAAAATTTATATCTATTTGGCAGGAAACGTTTGTAAAGTTAATACATACTATTTAGTTCTCATAACACTGAAGAAACAATAGCATGAACCACATTTGCAAAATTAAAATAACATTTGTCCATGATAGCATATAAATTTGTTAAAAAACTTCATGTATTAAGTTTACCATATAATTTATCACATTTCTTGTATTCGATTGTAATTTTTAGTCTGTATTAAGGAATTTCAGAACACAAATTATCCTTCAAGTTTTCCAATGTCTTTGTACTAATAGTTTTTGCATTACTTAAACGTAAATCATCTAATGACATAAAGTTGTGCTTATCATTTAAATTAATCATACTAAAACTTTTCCCTTTACCATCTGTCAAGAAATGTTTCTTCTCAAGCAACGATAGCAATGGTAGTTCCTTAACGTTTGATGTTTTTTCTGTTACCTTTTTAATAGTACAATAATTATGAGAATTATTTATTACTTCTTTTAATTTTATTGGGGATAAACTGGCACTATGAGATAAAAATTGCGAAGAATTAGATTTACACCACTTTTTTACTGGTACTATCTCTTCCTTTAACTGTGAGTTTGTCTTATTATGAGTATTTAATTGTACATCATACAAATTTTTTTCGGTACGTAGGTCATTCTTATGAGTTTCCATTCCTATGGAACTCAACTCCAGATTCGAAGGTAAATTAATATCGCTATTGCTTTGCGATTTGTTACTATTAAGGCCAAATTTAGAATCTTTATTTGGCACATACTTTGTTGTACTCTCCACGTTTCCAAAGGACATCAACCCTAAACTACCTAGATTCATTTTTGCTGGACTATTACTTAACGACTTTGATACACTATTTTTAAAATTAATTTTACATTTGTTTAATACTAGAGAATCAGAAGTTTGATCCTTTCCTGCGTTTGATCCTTCCACGGATGTCGTTAAAGACAGATTTGTCAGTGGATTTTTAAAAGTCTGCAGATTCTTTAATAACTTCTGAAACTGATTTAAACTATGCATAGAAAATTCTTTAGTCTGCAAGAAATTTCGACTTAATTCTGGCATAAAGTTGCTTGATTTTGTACTTTCCCCATTATAAAATCGCAAATTCTTACTGTCAAGATCGTGTACGGAACTTTCAAGAGATAAATTGCTCATATTCTCCATGTTAGCCTGCAGTTCTAACTCCCACTGAGAAGATATTGCTTCACTTCCATCAACCGATCTTTTCCCGAGATGTTCGTTATCTTCTTGTAATTGACAGGCGTTCTGTAATACAATAAATCGTAAGCGTAACTTCTTCGAAAAAAAAAAGAAAACTAAATTGAACTAAATTTGGAGAATATTTTACTAACCTCATATTCTTCGATTTTATCACATGTATTAAGCTGATTATTTGTAGTATCCTTTATTCTATTGTCATTTAACTGATTAACTTCTAAATCGTAATTTAAGGTTTTCTGTGGACTAACTAATTCTGCACCGACACCTGGCTCTCGAGGACCATTGGCTATGAAGTCTATAAACAAGAAAAACAAAATGTTACGTAATCTGCTCCTAAAATATTGTTCATTCAGATTGTTCATTCAGAATGGTAACAAAAATACCATTATCTCGCCGTTGTTGGTGTATTTGATTACTAATTTCTTCTAATCTACGAAGACTCGCGGCGTAATTGGTTTTTGCAACTTGTATTGTTTTTTGCAAACATTCGACTCTTTCTTTTTGTGTTGCTAGCATTTGATCACATTGAGCTTTAACTTCAAAGTATGGACGTGCTTTTATTATAGAACGACGATACTTTTCTTCTAATTCTAATAATCGTTTTTCAGCATCGTGAAACAGTACTGCTCGTCTATAGTGCTCTCTACCACACTCTGCTTTCTGATTCTCTGCATCCATTACCTGAGTAAAAATGTATTAAAGTTAGAATAATATTCAGAACAGAAGTTCTATACTTCATGCTCAGCTTACTTTAATAGTTGCATGGTTCAACATATCCTGCCACGCCTGATCAAAGTTCCATTCATGTTGATGCGACATAAATCTGCTTTCAGCTAAAGCTACAGTTTCCTTTGCTGCTGCATGAATTTCGCTCGCTCGTTGAAATAATTGAGCTTGTTGTTGACATTGTATCTGTACAAACGATTTCATATGATTGCTTTTGAAGTTCTCAAACATTCTGCAACTATTCTCTCACCTGAGCTTTACGCATTACTTCAAGTGCATCATAATAACATCTAGCTTTCTCAACGCAACTGTTTCCTACTTTGTTTAAAATTTCCTTTAATCTCTTTGTAGTCTCAGATAATAATTGTCTAAAAGCAGTATGAGCTTCCTGAATAACAAAAAAAGTATCATACATTCATTCTCTGAATAAAATCTAAACAATAACAATAATAATACTGCTTGGCAATAAAAAGATAATAAAGTATCTTACATCTAATTCAGTTTCAAGTTTATTTATGTCATCTGTTGCATCGTTCAGATTTTCAAGTTCAATCTGAAATGTATTCATATTGTTAATAAAACTGGATGCATTATAGTAAACAATAATCCGAACAGTTCTATGCAGCACAGACATCAATTTAACTACAGAGGTTCTTTTTTAATTTGAATTTATTATGTTGTTAATTCCTTACAAAACAAACTTTTTCAAGAAAGAAGTGAAAGCAAAGTGGAACATGGTACCAGGCTGTGTTAGGCATCATGATCGCGATCAGTAAGTGTATCTTTGTACACATGTAACCGTTTAAAACTACGCAGTTATAAAAAATAGACTTACAAATATGATAAATCTATAAATAGAAGACATGTCATTAAGGATAATTACCTGTATGCGAGGATCTAAAGATCCATCGGCGTTGTCCGTAACATCCATGCTTTAATGTCTGACATTTAATTGAACTTGACGTATAATCACGAACGTCAATCCATTGTTAGATTACATGTGTGTGCCACCGTTCAAATCATGAGAAATGTATAACTCTTACCGCATAAAATTATTCACTATCGTTTACATTTCGAAAACGTATGATGACAAACAATTACGCGTAACATTGGCGTCGACACTTGCGGACACTACAATACTAAATTCTTGTTGCCTTAGTAGGATGGATAATGTATAGTAACATCGCCCCACCTGGCCCCACCAGGCACCATATGAAGCAACAAAAATTAAAACTGATTATACCACAGATGATATATATGTATAAGAGTAGGCCTGTCACTATACAGGACGTACCGGACTTCGTGGCTCGAGGAATCTGTAACACTGACATCTCAAGAAGTCTGTGATTTTAGCGACCTCTACGTTATGAGAGCGGTGAATTCTGGAATTACATTCAATCTACAGTAGCCGGTAGTTTATTGTATATTTCGGCACAGACTAGGTATAGGATAGACTTATCATCTTATGGGACTTCGTGTCTCATGTTCTGAAATACCGATAGTGTAAAAAGTCAGGGATTTTCTGCTGCCCTCTACGTTATGAGAACGGTGAATTTGTGAACTACGTTAAATCTAAGAAGGGACCATGGTCGTGAACGGATTCTCTTCCGTCCGTTC